TAGGAGCAAATAAGTGGGAATTATGGCTGTTTTAGGGAAGATAATCATAGAAGGCTCTGCTCAGGAGCTGCTGTTGAGGAAACATGCAAGGGGTTAAGTCAAGGGAAGGTCTGGAGAAAGAGCATTTCTGACGAGAAGAGCAAGTTGCAAAGACTCTGAGAGAGGAAGGTCATGGCACTTCTCATGGATTAGAAAGACGACCAGTGTGACTGGTGTCAAATAAAGAGGTGGGGAAAGAGTACGGGTCACAAAGTAGTGAGGGACCAGACCTCATGAGCTGTTATGTAAACCTACGTCAAGGAGTTTGGATTTCTCCTAAAGATGACGGGAAGTCCCTGGAGGGCTTTGAGTGTAGGAGTTGTGGTAAAGACTGACTCAGCTCTGTTGAAGAGAAAGTGAGGCAGGAAGAATAGTGAATAATAAGTGTGAAACCAGTTTGAGATATGCTTTTGCAGAAGTGTAGACAGAATGTAATGATCTGGATTGTAATCACCAGTGTTGTTGGTGATGAAAACGTAGACTTGATGTATAATCTGAAAGTAAAAACCAACATGACTTGTGACTGTGGTGAATTGGATATAGATAGAGCATGAGGGGAAGAATATTTCAAGATGGTGCCTTTTTAATTTGTTTTTGTTTTTGCTCTTGCTCTGGGCAAATGGATGTGTGTGATTTAATGATGTAGAAAGATCTGGGCGGAAGCAGGAGATTTTTGTGGCACTGGATGGTTAAAAGTTTATTTTATATATAAGCTTCAAGTAAAGATGTTCAGTAAGATGGGGGACAACAGGTGCTTCTGAAATAATCCATTGAGGTTATCAGCATGTGACAATTTTCGAGGATTGTTTATCTTTGTATGCCTACTTCCTAGCATGAACCCTGATATGAAATATTCAAATATTAGGTGGATAGATGGCTCGCTAGGCACACATTCATACATTGTCCTTGCATTTATAGACATAAATAAGTCACAACCACCATATCACATGTTTATAGAGCACTCACATTGTGCTAAACAGTGTTCCCAGTGTTTAATATGTATTAAATCACTTAATTCTCAGTGCTGTCATTGATGTCACTTTTATTGCCATCAGTATCTCCACTTCACAGTTAAGTAAGGTGAGTCTTACTAAGGTTAAGCTGCTTGACCAGGATCAGGTTCTCCAATAAGTGGCCACAATTGAAACCCATGTGGTATAGCTCAGGAATTTGTGCTTCTCTCCATGGCAATACACTTCTTACCATTATCATGATTTACTCATTGTCATAAATCTTAAATCTGCGTTATCGCTGTGGTAAACTCATTCTGAAGTGAAACATGAAGACTGTTGGTAGAAGAATGCCACCTTAATCCTTGGAGGAAGAACTACTAATCTGAAGTATATAGTTTAACTTATATGTGAAAAGCAAGTTTAGTGCCTAAAGGGTAGCATGTTTAAGTCCTCTTAATTGCATATTTTTCTCAGGTTTCAGGGTCTCTGCTAAAATGATTATTGGAGAGAAGATGAAAATAGGCAGCTTCTGATGAATTTTTATAAGGATACTATCTTTAAACACATGTAAAAAATAGAACTAAAAGTTAGGTTTGTTTTGGTAAAAAAAAAATTGAAATCCATGCAGATTTTTTTTATAATACACATTTTCTATGAACTTTTTGAAGACTCCTCCTCTCTGGGTTTATAACAAATTGTTTCCAAAAAACGATATTCATTTTAGCAATGGCAAGAAAATGTAAACTCTGAACATTCAGGAGGAAAAAACTACCTTTGAAAAAAAAATAAGAGTTTACTTTTTTCCTCTGTAAATGTGAAGTAGCACATTAGCAGAAATGCCATGTTGGTAGCAGAATAGCAGGAACTCAAACTCTGCTATGGGGTACCCATACCAAAAGCAAAAGTTTAGCCTGTGGTGCAACAACTCCAGTCCCCATTTTTTATTTTAAAATTTCTTCTTCTTGCATAGTCTCTGTGTCTCCCTGGTTGCTTTTTGGTTTTGATGCATCCATATTAAAAACTGGCCTGAGATATTAGATTGCCACTGGTATTTGAGTAAACAACTGAAGTTGGAAGCTCAGAACACCCGGGAAGGGACGGGGAACTGGACGCTGATTTGGAGGGATGATTCCTTAAGAAACCTGCATTTTGTATGCATAGGCCTTTTTTTCTGAGACACATCATGCTCCTCAGCTTTGCTGCTTCTGATCTCATGTCTGGAGGATATGCTCCTGGCTGCAGATGTTCTAGGGTCAGGAGACAGGAAGCAGTCAGGCATATATGGTATTCATTATGTAAACTTCTTCTAATCCTCCAGCTTTGAGTGTAGGAACTGCTCTCACAAGTCTGTCAAAGGTCTCAGTCTGGAGGATGTCATTTTATATTCTCAAAATAAACCTTAAAATTTTTTTTAATCAATTAAAAGGAGAGCAGAAGAATACCTGCAGGCCTAACTTATTCTAAAGAGTTCTTTCAGCCAATCCTTCTTTGGTTAACTCCACTCTTAAGTTCTCTTTGTTCTTAAGATTTGTGTCTTTTAGTCTTGGCATGGTAGCCTAGTGGCTGGGGTCCTTGCCTTACATGTCCTGGGATCTCATGTGGGGCTGATTTGTGTCCCGTCTGCTCCACTTCCCTTCCAGCTCCCTACTTGTGGCCTGGGAAAGCGGTGGAGGATGGCCCACGGCTTTGGGTACTCTGCACCTTCATGGGAGGCCCAGAGGAAGCTCATGGCTCCTGGCTTCTGATTGGCTCAGCCCCGGTTGTTGTGGCCACTTGGGAAGTGAACCAGCAGATGGAGGATCTTTCTCTCTTGTCTCTCCTTCTCTCTGACTTTCCAATAAAAAAAAGTGGCTCTATAAAAACAAAAAAGAGTAATCTCTTTTAAAATAATTTCACTTACTCCCATTTTAGTGAGGTTTTAGGAGAAAAGTTAATGTGTGCATTCAATTTGTTTTTTTTTTAATGTTTATGTATTATCATGTACTTGCAAGGCAGAGAGAGAATTGTTTTTTCCATTTTCTGGTTTACTCTCCAAGTGTCCTTACTAACCAGAGTTATCCTGGTCCACACCCAGGAGTCCAGAATTCCATTCTCGTCTTCCACATAAGTGGGAAGAAGCATGTACTTGAACCATCATCTGCTGTATTGTCAGATTCGAAGCAGAGTAGCTGGGTCCTAAATCATAACTTCAGTATAGCGTATAAGCATCCCAGGCAGAGACAACCTGTCATGCCACAATAGCTACCCCTAAATTTATTTATTATTTGAAAGGAAAAAAAGGGGAAAAGATTTTTTCCATCCACTGGTTCACTCCCCAAACATCAACAAAAGCTCAGTCAAGCTGACGCCAGGATCCTGACTCAGGTCTCTCAGATTCAAACTACTTGAAATGTCATCTGCTGCCTCCCATGTGCCCAGTAGCAGGAAGTTGGAGTGGAAACTGGGATGATAATTATTGCCCAGGCACTCTGCTGTGGTAGGCAGGCATCCTGGGCGGTGTCTGTCTCTACCTGCCTATTGCAGTGTCTCTCTCTGCCCTTCAAATAAAAATTTTAAATAAATAAAAAAGCATAAAAAAACTAGAAGATTAAAACATGTATGATCCCTCTTTTTTATGGAATCTGTTGTCTACTTGCAGGCAATCATCTCTAGAATAATGTTGGTTTTGAAGCACTGTTTTAAATGATTTGTATTGCTATTCTTTTTTATGATACTTTAAAAAGTACAATTTGTAAGTTTTTGCTTGGTGTGTAGAAATATAATTGTCTTTCCATAACAATTTAATAAAATAAACCTTTTATTCAAATTATTTATTTATAGACTGTTTTGAGTTTTCTATATTGACAGTGAGATCATTGATGAGTGATAATTTCTGTTGGTTCTTCTCTCGTAACACTTTGCCTTTTCAGTTCTTTCCATTGTCTCATTGAGCTGCTTGCTACCTCAAATACAATGTTGAACACAGAGCATGTTTTTACTTGTATCTGATTTGCTTTTTCAGGGAATTGCTTGAACTGTTTCACCATTGTATATAATGTTTGCTGTGAAAATTTTCAGTTTAGACTTAATAGAGTGATGAGGTACATTATGGATTTTCTAAAGTTGAGTGTGTCTTACAACCTAGATAAAGTCAACTTAGTCATGATATGTTCTTATTTTCATTTTAAAGATTTATTTTTTACTAATTTGAAAAGTCGAGTTACATAAGAGAAGGAGGAGAAAGAGAGAAATCTTTCATTTACTGATTTACTTCTCGAAAAGTCACAGTGACCAGGGCTGAGCCAGGCCAAAGCCAGGAGCTTAGAACTTCATCCATGTCTCCCACTGAATAACAGCGGCCCAAACACTTGGTCCACCATCTGCTGCTTTCCTAGGCACAGTAGAGGGAGCTGGGCCAGAAGTGGAGCTGCTGAGACTCAAACCAGGACTTATGTGGGATTCTACCTTAGCGAGTAGCAACTTAACGTACTGCACAACAATGCTGTCCCTGATATGTTCTCATTTTTTCTCATTTTAAGCATTACTAATTTGAGTTGTTAATTTCCCTTATTTAGGATTTTTCTGTATTCTTCAGTGAAATGGGCTGTAATTTGTTTTTTAAAAGATTGTTTTGATAGGTTTTAGTATCAATCATATTGATCTGGAAAATCAAGAACAGAAGGACTGGTGTCCCAGAATAACAGGTAAAGCTGATGCCTACAGTGCCAGCATCCCACGTGGGTGCTAGTTTGAATTCCTTTCTATGTGTGATTCAGCTAACAGCTAATGTGACTGGGAAAGCAGCAGAAGAAGAAATATAGAAAGCCAGTGCCACAGGCAGAGGAGAAACCTGCTATGCCACCACACTGATGCTCTGACTTCTTTCTAACATAAGCATTTGAGATTCTGTGGTTCCCTACCACTTTATTAATGTTCACAGTACTCACCATGCCAGAGAATGTGGCTGATATTGATCCAGGAAAATCCTATTCTAGTAATGATGTTTTACTATTACCTTCTTTCATGCAGGATTCACCTTTATTTGATCTTATTAAGCAGTCGAAAGACAGAGAAGGGCCAGCTGATCATTTTGAATCTTCTTGTCCTCTCAACCTTCCTCTCCAGAATAATCACACCGCAGCAGATATGTAAGTAGAAGGTTTATTGTGTCGTCCATTCAGACTGCAAACATTCTGAGCAGTTAGTGTGTTTAGGGCACTGTCTAGAAACTATAAGGATTACATTTTTGGATAAGGCATTGTTTCTATTTTTAAAAATCAAGAATATAGTATAAAATGTAACAGACTCACCTAAGATTGATATAGTATAGCCAATTTTCATGGTGGAAATGACCATTTAGGTAGGCCTTATGCATTGAATAATTTCCATAAGGAAACTAAAAGGGAGAAAGAAGACAGTGTTTGAAGAGCTAGACATGATGTGAACTCAAATGCCTAACAGCAGGGGAAGCAGGAATCATTTTCAGTACAGATCAGATCATTTGGAGAGAAGTATAGGGTAGCTGTAGGGAATAGTATGTGACATGGACCCACACTGTTGATTAGTGAGTAATGCTCGTGATAATGTTGAGGATTTACTCTGTGTTGGGCTATTGTCTACGTAGTTCAGCTTTTTTTTTTTTTTATGTTTACATAGTTGATTAGGGTGGGAAGGATTGAGAATTAGGGGAAAGTGGGTGAAACCATTGTTGCAATTTTTTCTTCTTCTTCCTGTATCTGGGGAAAAGGGATAGATAAGGGGAGAAGCCTCACCCAGCCTACCAACTACCTCAGTATAAAGGGATGAGGAATGGCCATCCGATGTGGAGCATGCTCTGAGGGTTTTGCTCAAGTGGTTTCGGTAGTTTTAACAAGCTGTCAATCTCGCCAATTCAAGGATGAGGAAATCCTTCCAAGGTCCATTGGCTAACATAGTCAAACTTAGAGTCTCCATTCGCCCAGATATTTGCTGTCAACACTTGCCAAAGGGTAGTTGACCAATTCTTTTTGCCCTCCATCCTCTGCTGTGGTACCAGATATCCTCAGCAGACTCCAATAGACAACCATATCCTCCATGTGCATCTGGGTGTGCTGTCTACTTCTCCATCTTAGCCACTGAGGAGCCCAATTCTGACACATTTGTTTCATAGTCAGACCACAGCTCCTGTGATTCTCTGCATGGTTGGAGTTCTGAGTCCAGCAGTTCAGTTGGGAGGATTCCCAAAGAAACCTCATCTGAAGTGATCACAGACCTGACTCTTGTGTGTGCTTGTGTGCTTGCCAATACAGAGTCCATCTCTGTCCATCACCCACTTCAGCTAACACACACACTGGTAGTTGCAATTGCTGGGTCGGTTCTGTCTCCAGCCCCGCTTCTTACATAAACCATGGGTGCTGCCGTCCACACACTTGGCCCTCATGTACAGCAGTGGGAGGAACAGCCTAGTCGAAGTGACCCCTAAAGTTCCCCACTAGGCCCATCCCCAGCCCTGGCTCCTGTGCTTGCCAGTATGTGCAGCAGACTGGTCCAGTCTGTCCCACATCCCATTCAGCTCTCGTGAATGTCAATGGGCATTGAAGCCTAGTTCAGTCCAACTGATCCCACTATCCAGCCCACATTCATGCCAGTGGGTGCCACCCCTATTCCCAGCCCTGATTCTCAGTGCTTACCAATAGGAGTTGCAGCCCACAGGTGGTTCTGTGGTCTAACTGACAGGATTTACCACCAATCCCAGCATTTGCCATCTGATGCTGTGGCAGAGCCCAACAGCCTGCATTTACTCTGGCTCATGCATGCACCAGTGGATACAGTTAGCCAGAACCGTAGTTGTCAATTTAAAACAATTTCAGGAGGAAAGTCAGTGAAATGTGAAAACACATTTGGTATCAACAAATTGTTCCATAAGCTGGAATTATTTAATGATCTCAATCATAACTGTTAAAATTAGGCATTCTTTCTATGCAACTATTTTTTGTAATATGGCAGCAATTCCCAGGGAAAGCCTCTTACTGAAATAATTCAATATTATGATAAGTGGTTTTTCTATTAGGCTATCATTCTCAGCTTGTATTTAACTAGCCAGCTTATGAATTAAGTATAAAATAACAGGTTAATTAGATAAAATGTATCTGGATATATGTGTATGATCTTGGGGAGGGTGTGTGTGTGTGCGTGTGTGTGTGACTTTCAGTGAACTTCAAATGAAAATATTTTCTTTGAATACATCTAGGTATCTTTCTCCTATGAGATCCCCAAAGAAAAAAAGTTCAACCACGCGTGTAAACTCTACCGCAAATGTAGAGCCACAAGCAACCTCAGCTTTCCAGACCCAGAAGCCATTAAAATCTACCTCCCTTTCACTCTTTTACAAAAAAGGTTAGTAGAGGATTACTTTCAAGAGCATGAACTCTGAAGCCAGAATGACTGGGTTCAAATCCTGGCTGTTTTACTCGCTAAGTGTGACCTTGGCAAGTAACTCAATATCTCTAGGCCTCAGTTTCTCCACCTGTAAAATGGAAAGATAATAACCAGTACCTTATAGTAATAATTTACTTCATTGGATTCTTGAAATAATTAAATGAATTTGTGCATTTGAAGTGCTTCCCTCATTGCCTACTACATAGTAAAGCATCAGAAAGTGTCAGATGTTATTGTTGTCGCATCTGTTGTTAGAGCTTCAAATTAATGTTTGGAAACATTTGCCGCGACACTGCTTATGCTATTCCATTGCATGTGTAGAGTTGAGATTACGCAATGTTCTGGGTCTAATGTAGACACACATCCTAGATATTTTCAGAAAAATTAAGAAGACAAGTAATCAGATTGTGTAGCATCCTCTGTGTGTCAGTGTGGCGGGGCAGGAGATTGATTTGGATATGTGTGTGCATTTGTACAAAGGTACACCTGCTGGAAGATATTTGAAGGAGAGTGAAAGACCAGTTTCCTCTGTGAAAGTCTTTTTCCTGATTTGATTTGAGTCACAGATACACTGAGCAATACAGAAGTATCATGAGAACAGTGGTTATATCAAAGGATAGTCCCTAACCAGTAGTAGCCACGTCACCTGGGGAACTTGAAAAGGTGTGTGGTTCCACTTCATGCCTACATAATCAGAAACCCCAGGATAGGGCCCCCAAATTCTCATTTTAACAACTGTCCAGTCAAGTTTGATATATGCTGAAGTTGAGAACCACTGGGGTAATTGATAATATTTGAAAACTCTAATTATATTATACACATCATTGAAAGGCACATTTTGAAGCAAGGTTCTTTAAAGTAGAGGGAAGGAAATTCAGTAAAATTTATTTTTATAGTGTATTTCTATAAAATTTATTTTTATAGTATATTTTTATGAAGTTTCTAAATAAATTCATTTCACAGTAATGTCACACTTAGGCAGTCCTCAATTCTATCATTTTCTAGAATATGTCCATTGGCATTTCACTGAAAAATGCATGATTTTGGTTTTTTAGGACTGGAAAAATTAATAGACATTGACAACTCTATTATTTTTAAAAATAACTGGGGTTGGATGCTGTGGTGTAGCAGGTGAAACCACCAACTATAGTGTCAGCATTCCATATGGGCACCAGTTTGAGTCCTGGATGCTGCACTTCTATCTGCTTTTTCCCTGCCTGGGAAAAGCAGAGAAAGATGGCCTAAAGTACTGGACCTCTGCACCCATGTGGAAGGTCCAGAGGAAGTTCCTGGCTTATGGTTTCAGACCAGACCAGCTCCAGCCATTGTACTCATTTGGGGAGTGAACCATTAGATGAAAGATCTCTCTTAACACATACACTCGAACTCTTTGGAATAATAAAATAAATAAATCTTTCTTAAAAACCAGTATTCCTCTTGAATATTGACAGTGTGAACTTCCGGCAGCTGTGAGGAGTGATCATCAGTGGAACTGAAGCTTGCTTTTCCTCCTTTTCCTTTCACCTCTTCCTTTTGCCTTCGCTTCATGATGTAATAGTTAATTCAGTGTTCTCCCATGTATGTACTTAACACTGTACTAATACTACTATCAATCTTGTATTCATAAGAATGATAGTGGCGGAGGTGAGGTTACTATTAAATGCTGTCTAGCAACATTAAACCAAGGTACTTCGTAAAGTTTGTGAAAAATCAAAAGGTGTTTTGATGCAGAAAGTTGTAATCCCTGCATATAAGAGATAATAAACAGTTCATGCATAGAAGAAATATATGCTTGTAGTTGAAAATGAACTGCAACCCTGAAGCACTCCTCTTCTCCCCCAGTGTACCGACTGGCCTATCTCCGACTCAATACCCTATGTGCACGCCTCCTGTCAGAACACCCGGAACTGGAGCACATCATCTGGACCCTTTTCCAACACACTCTGCAAAATGAGTATGAACTCATGAGGGATAGGCATTTGGACCAGGTAAGAAAGTCAAACACTTCTCCTTTCTTTCTCTCTGTTCTTGTTAGCTCTGTACTGATTTCTTAAGCCTAGAAATGAGAACTTAGATCCATTTTGTGGAATTAGCACAAAATTAGTATTCACTTGATGGTTCCCATTTATATTGGTTATAATTCTTACAAATCAAAGCTCAAGAGAATATTTCAATAGCTTATTTAAGAGCATAAAAGATGTCATTTACAGAAAATCACTAATTTTGTGGAATTAGCACAAAAATTAGTATTCACTTGATGGTTCCCATTTATATTGGTTATAATTCTTACAAATCAAAGCTCAAGAGAATATTTCAATAGCTTATTTAAGAGCATAAAAGATGTCATTTACAGAAAATCACTAAATATTGTGTATCTCTTGGGCTTTTTCTATGTCACAATAAGCTAAATTTTATTTTAATACATCAAAATTCATTTTAGTAAAGAAAAAGGATAAAATTTAGGAATTTATCTGAAACTGTTTATTCAGTGACTCATACTTGGTCACAGTGCCTAACCCGTTTCTCTGGATTCAACTTGTTATTTTGTTGAAGATTTTGGCAGCTATAATCATGAGAGATATAGTTTTCTTATAATATCTTAATTAGGTCTTATCTAGTAGAATTTATTAGTAAAACCCTTGGTCCTGGGATTTTGTTTGTGAGTAGTTTTTGATCACCAATTCAAGCTCAGATTTTCTATTTCTTCTTGAGCTGACCTTGGTAGTTTGTGATATTCCAGAAACATTTGCATTTCATCTCAGTTACCTGTTTTGTTGGTGTATGGTTGTTTTAGATAATGTTTTTTCATCATTTTATTTCTGTAGAGTTGTTAGTAATGTTCCCAGCAAGAATGATGTTTTGGGCAGGAGATGATTTTGTTCCATTAAAGTGTAGTTTGAAATTTGTACATTTTATTTTTAAAACTATTTACTTGGAGAAAATTTTAAAAAGAACTAATTAAAAAAAAATAAGAGACAGAGAGACCTTCCTTCCATTGTTTGTTCGCTCCCTAAATGCTCACAGCAACCCAGCTGAGCCAGACTGAAGCAAGAATCAGGAATTTAACTTAGGTTTCTTATGTGGGTGGCAGAGATACAATCACTGGAGCCATTACCTACCCATATCCCAGGGTGTGTATTAGCAGGGAGTTGGGATCATACCAGAGCCAGGACACAATCTCAGATCTTCCAGTGTGGAATGTGAGTTGTAACTGCTGGCCAACGAGTCACCCTAACATGTAGATTTTACAAGAGCTGATTTGGATGCATAAATTCTAATACTTGGGACTTTTAAAATAGGTCCTTGTTGCTTTATCTTTCTACTGTTTTCCATAATGTAGAAACCTTGTCATGTCAAGGATTTCTAGAGAGAAATCTCTGAAATCAGGATTTTTGTATGAGAGAGAGAAGTACCTCAGGTAAAACATTAAAGTAGAAGAAAATGTAAATTAGCAAAGTGGATTCTGAATGACAGTCTAAATGGGAGAAATAGTAGATTTAAGCAGGCGGGATGCTGAGTAAAGGATACTGAGTAGATATATTTGGCAAGAGATGTAAACTCAGATGTTGCAGAAGTGATGATACATAAATTAGGCAATAAAAATTAAGACATAGTTTGATGCTTTAAAGTCACAGGGCATATTTCAATTTTTTATTGAAATGCTGTATGCATACAAAATAATCCATGTATCAAAAGGATGCATGTACATCGTAAATAAAATTCAGCAGGTGAACCCACATGTGTCAAGAGCATCCACATCAAGAAACAGCACTATCAGCATGGAGCTGCCCTTCTGCAGTCACTGCGCCCCTCTGACTGCTGTTATCATCGGCTGCGTTTCATATTGTTTATATCATGGTTTAATCATTCTCGTACATGGAGGAAGTGCTGGTTCTCAGAAACATTTAAGAAGCCAAAGTAAGGGTAATTTACAAGTCAGGTAGTTAGTCCTGGATAATTGAGAATTATCTATTTGTATTTTGGTTTTTAAACATAATTTAGGTTAAACAAGTCATAGACTTTCAGATTGGGCTTGGAATAGAACAAAATAAGCTTGTAGGAAATTAAATTACCCTTTCTTAAAGTTAAATTAAGTCACAGTAATTTTTAGAAAAAAAACTGTGTAATAAATATTGACTGTTTTTATGTCACTCATTTATTAGATCATGATGTGTTCCATGTACGGTATATGCAAAGTGAAGAATATAGATCTAAAATTCAAAATCATTGTGACAGCATACAAAGATCTTCCTCATGCTGTTCAGGAGGTGAGTAACCTTTCATGGCAAATTTTATGGTAAGATAAGTTCCATATCCATGATGCAAATAATTTTCATTATTAATCAGATCACATATTCAGACCTTATTAAGTAAGTACGTAAATCAGGATTTATTGTGGTTTATTGACTATTTGTTTCTAAAGTGTTTTGGAAAGTTAGCGCAAGTTGTAACATTTTGCAAATTCATAGTTGTTCTTTTCCCCCTAGCTTTATTGGAGAATCAGAGAACCAGAGAAAAAGACAGACTGACAGACACAGAGGGATTACCTGTGTTGCAGGCAACAGTTGTATTTGCTATGCCACAACATTGGCCTATGAACTTTTTTTTCTGAATCCATTCCTTTTTTATACATACATACTGTAAAATCCCTGTGCTTTTCTCTAAGATTTTAATAAAATCTAATTATTCAAAAATTATAACAGTTTTGCTGAGTGTCTGCTTCTTGCAATGGGATAATACATATTTCTTGAATCTTTGCACCCAAGAGCAAGAAAATACAAGCCAGAGAATATAGTTGCAATGTTTTCTTTTTGAAGATTTAAAAAAAAAATGTATTGGAAAGGCTAAATGACAGAGAGAAGGGCAAACACAGAGAGAAAAGAGATTCTTAATCCGCTGCTTTACTCCCTGAATGGCCACAACAGGCAGGGCTGGCTCAGGCTGAAGCAGGGAGCCTGGAACTCCGTCCGCATCCCTCACACCGCAGGCACTCCGGTGCTTGAGCTGACCTCTGTTGCTTTCACGGGTGCATTAGCAGGGAGCTAGATTGGAAGCAGAGCAACTGGGACTCAAACTGCTGCTTTGATATGGGATGCCTCTATTGCAACAAATGCTTAATTCTCTGTGCCATTACATGGGCCCCATGCGCTTTTGCTCCTTTTTGCTCTGCCTCCTAGCTGCTTTTCTGGATCATTTTTGTGATACTTTGCTTCTTTTAGAGCACCTACAAACTAAGTCTAAGGAGGCTTTTTCAGATTTTTTTCCCCTACATAATAGATGCTTTTTACTGGATAAATAAAATTACAAAATATTGTGAAATTAAACGTAAAGAGAGGAAGTCCCATATTCATTTAACCTGTGTCTCTGTTGTTGTTCCTCAGACATTCAAACGTGTTTTAATAAGAGAAGAAGAGTATGACTCCATTATAGTATTCTACAACTCGGTCTTCATGCAGAGGCTGAAAACAAATATTTTGCAGTATGCTTCCACCAGGGTATGATGAGAGTTTCCTTTGATTGGGATTATGTCATTATAAAGCAGTGAATGCCACTGACACATGAAATAATCTGCTTCTTTGTTTTGCCCTAGCCCCCTACCTTGTCACCAATACCTCACATTCCTCGAAGCCCTTACAAATTTTCTAGTTCCCCCTTACGGCTTCCTGGGGGGAATATCTACATATCACCTTTGAAGAGTCCATATAAAATTTCAGAAGGTCTGCCAACACCAACAAAAATGACACCAAGATCAAGGTTTGTGTTTTCTCTTTAGGGATATAGAAAAGAATAAGAGTATTATTTTAGTCCAGGCATAAAAACATCAAGATATCTTTGTTTAAAATGAGCTAAACTCCTGAGTCTCTCATTTCTTTGTTTATATTGAGTGATATTATAGAATTTGGAGGAAAAGAAAATTTATTTGGATATGTTTGCACATTTGCTGTTAGCTTTCCTGGCTGTTGGGTCTTGTATTGCAGATAGCTCAAGAACCAGATGGGTTTATATGTTTGAAAACATTTTCACACTTTTGTAAGTAGCCAGTCTGCTAAACATTGTAGATTTATATTAGTTTTAGAATTTTTATTGTATAATTCTTAGGTGTCCTGTAAACTCCCTTTGGACTCTACTGATTTTACTTATTAGAAAAATGTGATGATTTACTAAATGTAGACGACTGACAGTTAAGTATTTAGATGTCCATCCCTAATTCATCCATGGCCATCTTGTATTACCCTGAGCAATACTCTGTCTCTACTTCAGAAGGGTGCTGTGGACCAGGGAAATGACGTGCGAAGCTATTTAAATTCTCAGATGAAAGGTTCAGTGCAGCTACAAATCATTATATTATCTTCCACATCCAGCTGCAAGTACTCTCTGGCTTTGAAGTGCCTCAATTGACTAATTATATGTTATCATGGGCTAGTTGAAACTGACTTTATTTGTCTAAAGTAGGAGGCAGATTAACTAGTATAATTAATGTAGTCTCATCTCAGAAATTGTTAGACCGTACAGTTGCACCTAAGGAGCAAGAAAAACAAATAAGGATAAGGGACTATATTAATGAACCTTCTAGAAAATACAAATAATGCATCTCTAGAAGATTTCAAACTCTACAGAAAAAAATATGAAGTAAAAAATTGGTAGTATGCTACACCCCTGTATCTTTCGGTATTTGGTGTTTGTATAGTTAGATATCTTTATAGTGATGTCTACTATTATAAGCTTTTAGGATGTCATGCTGTGTTTATTTAAATAAGTGTACACAGTTCCTCACCATCACATGTAGATGTATGCTCAGATGGTTTTTCTGATGATAATTATTCCACATTTCAATCAAAATGAGGACAGTTTGCTAATTCTAGTGAAATCAATTATCTGTTGGTACTCTTCAGCAAAAAAGTCACATTATAAAAAGCCAAAACTGTAAATGATTAATCAGATATTAAGGATTTTAGTCCTCTATTAGTCTAATATGTGTAGATATTCTAGTTAATCAAGTATGTTTACATGCAATAATGGCTATTTGTCAAGGATTTAAAATATAGTAGAAATCTGAGGGTTTACTAGTTCTATGTTTATATTTTCATTCCATTATAAAGCTGTTTGTGAGCACTGATGTAAGAACACACATTGTTTAGTTCAAACAAGGACTAGTAACTCTCTCTGTTTCTAGGGTATCTGAGAAATAACTTACTATACATCAACACATACTAATTAGAATTCTGATTATTGCTGAATACTGTAAATTTTGGCAGATATAACTTGAATTTTGCATGACAAAATGTGAAAGAAATTTTATAATTTACCCATGGATTTATGAAGAATCAAATAAGGATAAACCTAAAACCTTCTTTTACCACTTTTAAAGTGTGGATTTTGGCAGAATATCTCCTTGCAGGCTTACAGTTCTCTGTAAAACTCTGAGTGTTTGGTTAGACTAGCACTGTTACAATAAACCCCTACTGAATACAATTTAACAGTGGTTCTAATGTAAAGGCAGTCATTGATTTGGAATTGCTGCTAGTCCAGAATGAAGTGTGTATGTTCCTCTCTGTACAGTACTCTATGATTTCCATTACTGATTTATATTTCACCTTCACTTGACAGAATCTTAGTTTCAATTGGTGAATCATTTGGGGTAAGTATTTTCTTTCTGTGAAATACAATGTATACATTTTAACCATAAGGAATAAGATATTTCTATGATTTGAATTTATAAGTTCTATTATTATTCTATTCTTCAAATATTCATCTAGGCATTTTGCATATATGTCTTATAAAATATATCAGTTTTGTGTTCATATAATAATTATAAATCCTCCTCATAATTGATGGGCTTCAGAAATGATGTTCAGACATTCCAGTGAGATTGTATAATAGCTACATACACACTTATGTATATACACACATTATGTCTGTGAGAGGGTTTTATCTAATAACACTTCTGACTCTGAATGTGTGGGGTTATTTTCTCACACGAATTTATTATTCAGTTGTGTGGACACAACTGATTGTCTTGTGGTTAATTCCCTTTTGTTTTTGCTTTTTTAATGGTTACTTAGTCACTTGCAAGGCAGGGTTATACATCACCTTCTATCCACTGGTTCACTGCCCAAATGGCCACAACATCTGGGCCTAGCTCAAGGCGAGAGCCTAGAATAAACTGTATAACTTGTCAATATAATAACCATCATGTGAATTTAAAAGTGTCCACTGGACCCATCACTTCTAAACAATTCTTATGATCATCGCTCTAGTTACATAATATTCTTAAGAAAACAAAAAAAGGCTGACAAAACAAGCACTGTTGTTCTAATTTTGGTTGTTTCTAAGAAGTAGCCCAGGTTCTGTGTGGGGGGTGAATTTGAAAAATGAGGAACCAGAACCTTCCCAGGGATGGTCAGTGTTATTGACAAACAGTGGAGCTCTATAGAGCGCCCCTTCAGCTGGGGCAGAATTAGTTACGGTTACTCTGATTTTCAAATTTATTATACATCTTACTTGGTCCAGTAGAACTAAAAATTAAAATGAAGAGATTACACCTGCCTACTTTTTTTTTTTTGACACCCTTCACAGTTTGGGATTGCCAACTATAAAAAGTGACCACATAAATGATTTAAAATAATGAACTCTGTACTTTGTAGACTTCTGAAAAGTTCCAGAAAATAAACCAGATGGTATGTAACAGCGACCGGGTGCTCAAAAGAAGTGCTGAAGGAAGCAACCCTCCTAAACCTCTGAAAAAATTACGTTTCGATATTGAAGGGACAGATGAAGCAGATGGAAGGTAGGAACCACAGCAGAGTGTTTCCTGGGAGCCCAGCCGGTCACCTGGAAGCTAGAGGCCAGCGCTGCCCTGGCTCCAGCAAGGCCTGTCAGGCCAGCTTTGTTTGGAAATTGTGAGAATGGCTCAAAATCATAGCTATGCATATAGTCCAACGTTTAAAACACCAACAAATCTTACACCACCAAAATTCAGTTAAGATATCAGGTGTTGCAAAGCTGTTTCATTTTTTTTATATATTTATTACTTATGTTTATTATATATATACACAAGGGTATGTATATATTTACAGCTATTGATAAAATAATGTCAGCTTTAACATTAGATTTAAAGATGTTCACTTGTGAGAAAATATCAACTACTATTTCTATAAGAGCTATTGGAAAAATACATGGAATCAAATTTGTGCCATTTATACTTAAATGGTTAGTTTATAAACTTTTGAAATTAAAAGCTCCCACTTGCACACCTGTGCACACACACACACACACACACACCCCACAAAAGAAGTCTTCGAAAGCACAGTAGTTACTGGAAGTTGGAGTTTCCCATGCATGCACATGCAAATGAAGTGTTTTGCATTTTTTAAATCTGCAGCAAACATCTAGCAGGGGAGTCGAAATTTCAACTGAAACTTGCAGAAATGAGTAAGTACTCAGCTTTTTACTTTATGTAAATGAAAGAATTGTTTACCTTGCAGAAAGTGTTTTCACTTTTTATTTATAAAAGAATACACATAAACATTTCCTTCAACTGGCAGACTCATTCATGTATTTAAAGTGTAACTCCGTCAGTGATGGAGTGCAATGCCAAGTAAAGGCTGCACTCACCCTTTCTGAAATCTTTGGTGTGGAAAAACCAAGAAGTGAAGCCCTGCTTGACCGCAGCTTCAACACAAAATGACTGTGTTTAGAAAATATTCCAGAATAGCAGAACTGCAATGAGGAACTCAGAGTGTTAGATACAGGCATAAACCTGTCCTATCTAAATTGTATCACTCTTATTTAAAGAATGATCTTTTAGAAGGTAAACATTTAGCCTAATGCTTAGAGACGCTGCTCAAGACACCTGTGTCCTGCATTAGAGTACCTGGGGTCAACATGTTAATTTTGTGAGGTCAGATTTTCAATATGATTTTTTCCCCAGTTATTCAGAGTAATATAAATTTGGAATGCTAAGATGTTAAGGCAAATGGAATCCTATTCTGAGCAACTCTGAGACTGTAAAAAAAAAAAAGTCAATACAAATATGGTGGATAGAGATCATCTTAGGAAAGAAATGTTTATTAACTGTTATTAGGTTATATCTGATAGGTAGCTGTGGCAGTGAGTATGACATTTCCTGGTACTTGGTGCCAGATCCATTAATAGGAAAAGGAACTGAAAAAATTTTCAGGAAATAAGATATTCAAGCTGTCATTTCTGGGCTATAGGACACATCAGAAAGAACAATAATGTGAGAACAGGTTTTCAATACGTCTTTGTAGATATAAACTGAAATATCAATTATTTAGAATAATATCTTGAACTTTTTAAAATTATTTATTTGAAAGGCAGAAATACAAAGAGATAGAGGGAGAGACAGAGTTCTTTCATCCACTGGTTCAGTGCCCAAATGGCCTCAACGGCAGGAGCTGGGCCAGCCCAAAGCCAGGAGTCAAGAGCTTCCTCCTGGTTTTCCATAGAGGTTCAGGGGCCAGAGCAGTTAGGCCAACATTCACTGCCTTTCCAGGAACTTGAACAGGAAGCTGGACTAGAAGTGGAACAGCTGGAACTCAACTGGAACTGATGCCATAATGGGTGCCAGCACCGCCGGTGGCAGCTTTACTTGCTACGCCACAAAGCCAACCCCCAGAGCTTTTTCTGCATGAATTTTTGTGTTACAGTTAAAGTTAAATATACCAAACATTTAAATGTGTTTAGATTTTTTTCACTAAAAACTATATTCTCTCTTTAGCTTTTGAATACTTGTGATTCCTCCCTACCCCCCCAAGTACATAAAAATAGACATGAAGTTTGTAATCAATATCAAGGCTTAAAAACATGGAAACATTTTGGAGCCTACAAATATGCATTTTAAATGAGCAGAATAGTGTGAAAACAAGCATGCCTGTTTTCCGAGGGTTCAGTTGCTGAAGGAGGCACACACTTGGCTGTGATGGTGTTTCCTCAACCAGGTCGGAGGTTGCGGAGCCTTTCTGAAGCTGAGAAAACTGGAAACTAGCAATTTACACTAAAGGCCAACCAAGACATTCCCCAGGTTGCTTTTTAGCTGGTCTCAAAAGAAATTGTCTCTAAAGACTGGGTTGTCCAGAGTGGAAGACCAGAAAGGGGAGGACTAGAACAAATTGACTGTTTTCTTTCATCTCCAAGTAAGAACGTTCTTTGTACTTCTTTATAAAGAGCTGTCCAGCTCTAAAATCCATCCGAGGATTTTTAAATGATTTAAACCAAATGTTTAAGGTTTATCAATATTGTAGTTAATACTGTTCTTTTTTATTTAAAAAAAAAAGAGAGAGAGAGAGAGAAACTTTTCTGAAAGAGTTACAGAGAAGGAAAGACAAAGAAAAAGAGAAAGAAATCATCTACCCATTGGTTCACTCCCCAAATGGCCACAGTGGCTGGGGCAAGGACAGGCCAAAGCTAGCAGCCGTGAGCTTCATCTCAATATGCCACGTAGGCGGCAGGTTCTCACATACTTGGGCCATCTCCTGCTGCCTTGCAGACACATCAGCAGAGCTGGATAGGAAGAGGAGCAGCCAGGACTTGAACTGGCACCCAGACAGGATGCCCGCATCACAGGCAGCAGCTTTATCACAACTGGCTACAGTACTGTATGGGCCTGGTTTAGTTGAGGTGTGAGCTGAAGCCTCTGCAGTAGCTGCAAGACAGGACCTGGCACAAGGATTCCCTAGCTTTGGAGAGGAGACCATCCCTCCCTCCAAAAGACCCAGTTTGAGCAGCATCCCAAACTCAACCTCATTATCTCCAGACCAGTGCTCTGCAAAGTCCCAGGAATGTGGAAGACCATCTTGGGGGGGTGCGGGGAGGGCAGAAAAAATATTAGAAATTATGCTTTGGCCCCTTCTTTTATAGTGTTTGGAGTATGTGTTTTATTATTGTACACACTTGCAAACATGCATACCTACGTAAACACATATATACATAGCACACATATTTAGCAGTATATGCTTAGAAATAGTTTTGTTTCCAGGAATTGATTTTTTAAAAAAATTGGAGGCTCCTGCTTCTGAAAAGTCCTGAGCTCCATCAATCAGATACAATATGTATAGCAGCTCCTTCCAACTTAACCAGCACCATCCGTGCTAGTTAACAGTTCTCTGTCTTTCTTCCAGCATCTACTCGAACACGAATGCAAAAGCAGAAAATGAATGATAGCATGGATACCTCAAATAAGGAAGAAAAGTGAGGATCTCAGGAGCTTGGTGGGCACTGTGTACACTCCTGCCTCTCATGATGTGACTCTATGTGTCTCCCAGGTTGTTTGTGACCATATTTAATATTTTCAGCTCTTTTTTTGTGGATAAAAATATGCAAATCCAAGTTGAATATATGCATTGGCAATTCCTAAGCTACTGCAATGGGATATATGTTGTTTCTGTGCAGGATTGAAAATCTTGTGTAAATCCTGTTACTTAAAACTTTGTAGCAGATGCTTCCATTTCCACGTAGTTCTGCTTAGCGGGTAGTGAGGATAGCCCAGCAGCAGGAATCCTGACAACTTAGGACTCTCTTGGCTACTTTGCCTTCTCTTGTAGCAAGTATATGGTGTTTGCTCTTGCTTTTATTAATTTATATGTATATTTTTAAATTTAACACAAACATCCCTAGAAAAATGTGTCCTCTCTTACAAATGCAATTTGACTAACTGCCCATTCACCCAAATTATTTTGAACTCTTCTTAAACCAGATAACTGTTATAAACCAGAAAAAAAAAACTGATTTTTACACATTAGACTTTATTTTACTATTGGAATCTGATGCACTATGTGCTTGTTTTATAATTTTAGGTCTTAAGTACACACAAAAGGTAAAATGTAACCATGATATTGTCATACTACTGACACAGGCTTCATACCTCAGAATTTGTAAGAATTCGTTATTTGCTTCATCCAACTCATGCTTTAAAATGGGGGATTACGATAGTGGTTTTTTTTTTAACCATTCAGATCACTGAATTTCCCATCTATTACTTGAGTCAGCAAAGCTTTCTGCTAGAGCTTTGCTGAAGAGGACCTTACCACAGCTTATCCTAAGTGCTCTTCTAAAATTTTTGAGTCGTAAAGAATCGAGATACAAATTAACTTCATTCCATAAACAGACTGTTAACAATAGGGGCCTTAATTGTTGTTGTTGTTTTTTTTTTTTGAGGTTTGTGTAATTGCATTCCAACAACTATTCCACCCTCCCTCCTAAATCTGGGAAGGTTTACATTTTTCTCTGGAATGGTACATGTCTTCCATATATCTTTTGAAGTGGCAGTTATCTGCTTTTTTGTTTTTTTTTTAAGTCAGCGTGATCTAACACTGACCACATTGTCTAGTCCAAAATTGCAAGTAAAGCTAATAGTAAGCATCAACCCTTACATAAGCAGCACTCTTTGTATTTTACTTTTGTGCAAAAGCTTCAAATGAAAATAGCTGCATTAGAAAAAGAGGCCTTTCTCCCTTCCTTACATCTGAGGGTATATTTAAACTATCTTGTGTGATTAACTTATTTAGAGGTGGTATAATTTAAACTAGGTAATATTTAAGATAGTAGCAGCTAGCTTTAGGAAAAATCACTTTGTCTAAACTCAATTCTTTTGAAAAAGAAATCTGATCTGATTTGTTAGAAAATAAAATTTTTATTTTGTGCTCAGTTAAATCTTAAACTATGTTGCAAATATCTCAGAACAAAGGCACTAGAAAGCTTTATCCCATCGCATTAATTTTTGCATGAATATCATACCAATCAGTAAGTTTTAGGTTAAGAGCTTACCGTATTTCTGGATATTTTGCTAATAAGTTCACTCTAGAATTAGTGGTGATTCTAGGAATTTCTAAGATCGTGTATTGGAATTTCTTAAGTAAGGCTTTAGGTAATGCTTTATTGCTGTTTTGTATTGGTTAAAATTGTACATTTAAATCGGTATGTTACTATTTTCTACAAGTAATAGCTAGTCTATTTTAAAATAAATTAGCTCAGAGTCTGACGTTGTGTTCTTTCAATTCATTGCATCAACATTTTCTCTGTATGTAAACTCTAGTATCCTATCCATTCATAGCCCTTAATGGATTCTCTATCCTGACAAGTCCCAGGTTTAACCTCTCCAGAACTGAAGCCTTCATAGAAAGCAAAGCTCATAGCCAATAGACCTCTCAATGCCTTCCCCCTCAAATTTCTCAAAATATAATTTAAAGCCATGCAAGTAAAGGTATCTTGTTTCTACCCCATTGTCTCGTTAGTTCATTTAACATTTATTAAGACAAAACCTTAGTCATCTATTAGTGCTTTTTTTTCTTACAAAATCTTCAACATTTATTTTTGTACATTAGAGTAAAATTATAATGAAACCACTAAAACACTAACGTTTCTTGTGGGAGCAAAAGAGGCAGTAAAACTTAAGAGTAGAAAATCTAAGATAAACTTGTGTTAAATGGACACATTTGCTTCTGATGTACCATCATTAGGAACATGGATGTTTTCTCCAACAGGTCACAAATAAACAGCTGAGTCAAGGGATGAGGTCAGAATGCAGACAAACTGTAACAATGGCATAAAATTAACTTCAGACTATGCAGATAAGCTACATGTGAAACAGAAATTAATTTCATGTTTAAACTTGAATTTCATCCTAAAGACACCTCATTATGTGCAATGACACCAAAATCCAAAAATATCCCAAATCTGAAACACTGCTGATCTCAGGCATTTTGGATGGGGGCCACCCACCTGTGTACAGAATTAGAATCCTCAAATCTATATTCTGTTAAGGTCCCCATAGATTATTCTGTTGAGCCCTGAGATAATAAGCACTGAGACATGTAATAGTGTAAACCTCTGGAAATCATTACAGAAAACATCTGGATTAGAAGTCAGAGGACTTACTTGTCCTCTGGCAATAAGGCTGTTGGCCTGTGGTAGAGTTTGGTAAATGGAAATTCATTCCTCATCCCTAAGTAATAAACCCACCTATTTCCCCTACAATATTCCAATTTTTATATTGAGGAATTTAGAAGATCCTGTCACAAGAGCCAAGGACAAGGAAGACAAGGTTATGTTGTTGTTAAGATTTACTTTACTCATTGAAAGGCAGTTTCAGAGATGAGACAAGGAGAGATAGATCTTTCATCTGCCAGTTCACTCCCCAAATGGCTGCATCTGCCAGGGCTATGCCAGGCCAAAATCAGGAGCCAAGAGCTTTGTCAGGTCTGCCTTGGGGTGCAGGGACTCAAGCACTTGGCCCATCCTGTGCTGCTTGCCCAGACATTTTAGCAGGAAACTGGATTGGAAATGGAGCAAGGATGCCAGCGTTGCAGGCTGCAGCTTTACCAACAGTGCTGGCCCGGTAAAGAACTCAGTAAACACAACAATAAGGGAACAATCTGATTTTAAAATGGGCTAAATGGGATCAGGGAGTAAACTTCGTGGTTAAGACACGTGGGCCCAGTTCTTGTTTCTGGTTTCCAAACCCAACCACTTGCTAATGAAGGGCTGGGGAGATGTTAGTGATGGCTTCAAGTAATTGGGTTCCTTCTTCCCATGTGGGAAACATGAATTGTATTCCTGGCTTCAGGCAATAGTCTCAGCCAAGCCATTGTTGGCGTACAAGGAGTGAACAGCAGATGACAGTTCTCTCAAAATTTTCTTCTTTAAAATGCTCTAAGATGCGAATAGAAACGTCAACAAAGAAGATATACAATAGACAAATAAACCTATGAAAAGATGTTTTATATCCTGTGTTACCAGGGTCACGCGAACTAAAGTAACAAGACAACACTTCCACACAGGTACTAGGATGGCAAAATCTGGAACACACACTAAATGAGCTAGTCAGGTTGCAGTTACTGCTGGTGCGAATGCAAAGTGGAGTTACTTTGTTAACGCAGTTACAAAAGTTCATCATTGCTCTTACTATATGATCCTACAGTCATTTTTCCTTGTTACATACTCAGGGTCTAAACAAAAGCCTATGCATAAACATTTATAACAGCTTCATTCACAATTGTCACAACTTGGAAACCACCAAGATCTCCTTCAGTCAGTGAATGGATAAGCTGTGATATAACCATAAAAGAGAATAATATTTTGCTATAAAAGATGATAAGCTATAGGACCATGAAAAGACATGGGCAAACCTTAAGTATCCCTTATCAAAGGAAGGATGCTGCTCTTTCTGTATTTTCCCAACCATGCCACATTCTGGCAATGGTAAAACTGTGTAGACTCTAAAGAGACAGTGTCTGCCAGGGAAGGAGGAAGGGATGACTAGATGGAGCACAGAGGATCTGGAGCAGAGAGACTCTTCTGAATGAAGGCCAGGGCTGTGACATTATCATGTTAAGCTTCTGCAGTATCAAGTCCTGACTGCTTCACTTCTGATCCAACTCTTTGCTAATGACCTGGGAAAACAGAGGATGGCCAAAGTTCTACGGCCCCCTGCACCCATGTAGGCAGCTCCTGGCTTTGGACTGGTCCAGCACTGGCCATTGCAGCCCTATTTGGGGAAGGGAGGTGGTGTACCAGCAGATGGAAGACCTCATTGTCTTGCCTTCTCCTTATAACTCTGCCTTTCAAATAAAAATAAATATTAAAAATAAAATAAAACAACAACAAGATCAAAATCACCACTTTTCTGTAAGATTCTACACTGGTGGACTTACGTCATTCTCCATTTGTCCAAACTGAAAGAATGTATGGCACCGACAGCAATCCAAGATGCAAATGTGGACCACGAGAGGTTATGCGGTGTCAGCACAGGCTCTGGTCAGCTGTCATGAGGCACCATGCTGGAGGCAGATGTGGATCATGGGAACAGCCACACACGTGGGAGGAAGGGGAGGCAGACAGGAACTCTGAGCTTCCCTCCCAGTTTTGCTGTGAATCTCAGAATACCCTAAAAAAATAGTCTTCCCCAAAAGGTGAGCTCATCAAATAAAGAACAGTCAACCACACGAAAAGCAATGATTCTATGTTTTAGGGTCCGTTTTGTTAGGAAGCCCTTATCTGAGCAAGTGCTTCAAAACCCATGCAGAATACATCACCTTATGCCCTGACAAGTGACATGAGTCTGCTGCTTTATGATACTGCTGTGGCTCATGGATAAAATGACCACACATTTGCTCTGTTATCTGCAAATAAGCATTTTATTATCAAATAGTTTGACAACAGAACAAGATTTCTAATTCCAAAAGGGTTTTCTTTACATAATACCACATTGGGAGACACATAAAAGAATCTGATGCTGCATCATGTTCCAGTTTGGGTTTTTTTTGCAGTTAAATAAATTGTTTTGATCTAAAAAGTACAAATGGATTAATACCATGAAATATAAGTGCTAATTCATTTTCAGCTGGTACTTTATACTAGTGCCAGGTAGCAAGATTTATTTCATGGAACCTAAAAGTCAACTACCAGAAAAACTCATGATAATTTTTCCTTATGGAGGCAAATCTCTCAATACGAAGAACAGCAGAGGGCTTAATGTAATTATGTAAGGCAGATGAGCTCAGAAATCATACTCAAAGACAGCATTTCATATTCAGTATTCCATGAGAGAATTAATGACTCAGAGTAAACAGAAAATTAAAATTAGCCCTTGGGCCTTCCATAATTTAATTGCTAAGGCCTTTCATGAAGTCTAATTAACCCTCTCAGTTAGCCAGAACTACTCAGAACAATGTACCAGAAGGACAGACTGCAAGCATTACAGACTGTTTTAAAATCAACTTTGCGGAAGTCATTCCTCCATCCAGTTTTCTACCTATAAAGCTATTCCCAGACCAGCCTTAAGACTGATAATAAATTCATCACATGCCTACCACATGCAGGGCAGTGTGCTGGGTTCTGAAAACGTGGCAAGGACAGCATTCCTTGTCAAGCTAGGCATGTGCCATCAGCCAGCTGAACTGAGGGAATATTTGTCTGGAATAGCAGGCTGAGAGAGCGTACCAAGGGTGCCCGATGTATGTGATTCAAAACGGGAAATGGTAAGGACAATGCACTTCATTATGCGCCCTGAACACAGTCCCATTGGAGCAGAGCATTTAATGCTTTCTATGTAAACGGTGGATTCAGGCAGGTACAAAGACTGACACCATCTTTTCTCCTGACAGAATGCAAATGTCGGCCGAATGCCGCTCACTGCACACGCAACTGATTAGAGAGAGATGATTGATCTCTGGCTTCTGCAGAGGAGATGGAAGGCTCCCCAAACCCTTCCCTTTCCTGCCAGCGGGCGTCAGTTTTTAAAGGCTCCCACTCTGCTTGCTTTGCTGATAAAGTTCTTCAGGAGATCGTGGTCCATCTCGGCAAAGCCTGAAGTTTGTGTTACCACAGTCAGATGGTTGATGCAGAATCTGAAGCAGAATTCTTCTAAATCCTAGAGACAACAGCAAAAATCCTTTAAGCAAATTTCTATTTCCTGATGCAATGCAGGGTGGCATGAGAATTCCCACTTGTTTGTAGACCAGGACAAAGGACTGGGTACCCCACAGGAGGAAATGTGGGCATGGTAAACCTACATGACAGCAACTATGGATCTGTGCTATAGAAATCTAAATAACACAGAGGAAATACACATACTCCTCCACACCAGCCAAGGCAAGCAAAGCTGACAGGGGCCCTAAGTACATGAACGCTCCATTGCCTGTTCCTAGGGATACCACTTCTCCTTTATTTGTTTCACTTCCAATTCTGGCTAAAAACAGCACAGCCCTCCTTTTAGTTTCCCTGGGAGCACTTAAAATGATGCACTCTTGGTTGAACTTTACAAGTAGCATTTGTGCTGACAGCACAAGAAAGTAAAACAAGACAAATACACGCTCCCTAGCTGATTCATACAGGGGATTGTAGCTCCACTACACAGCTGGGGTATAAATATGTGGACATTAGTGACTGGGCATTTTGAAGCCTTATAGAAGGAGATCAAACCAACAGAATTGCTATGTTCTCCCATGAGAACAGAAAGACCCCCAAAACTGCTCACTCCATCTATTCCCTTTTCCTTCCCAAGATGGAGATTTCCTAGCAGTATTCAATAAGGACAAGACACAGATAGAGGTCCAGCTATGCCAAAGACTCAATACACTGGCACAAGGTGGTCCTGGCAGTGAGGAAATTCTGTCCACATACCACAAAGCCTTGGTACTTTTTGGCAGAAGGACGGTAGCCAACTTGAGCTGCTACTGCCGTATACATCGTCATCTTTAAAGTGAGACCCTTAGCTCCTCGTTCCTGGTGACTCTCACACTTCTCTCCTCAAACCCCACAACCCACAACCAGTCTCTGAGCCTCCACCTTGACAGGCATGTTCATTCCCTAGCTATCATCTACTGAACACCAAAACCAACCTCCCAATGTATCCCCCCACAAAGGTTGCTCCCCACCAGTCTTCCCTCTCTCCATCAATGATAACTTTATCCTTTCACCTGCGCAGGCTAGAAACCCTGGAGTCTTCCTTGTTTCTCTTTTTTCTCCTTTTCCCAACCCTCATTTTTAAATCATTTACAGATTCTCTCATCTCTGCCTTCAAAACCTATTCCAGGGCCAACTACTTTTCACTAACCCCACAGCTAAGAAAAGTGCAGGCCCCTTCCTCATCAGTATTTCCTGAGTTACAGTTCTCCTTGCCCAACAGCCTTGTGCTCCACATGGCGGTTGCAATGTTTCTGGTGCTGTAAGGCTCCCTGCTCGCTGCTCTCCAGACCCTCCTGCAGCTGCCCTTAGCAGGCCTTGCTCCCTCCACACCCTGCCTCCACCACACCGCCTTGTGACCTTCATCTGCCACCTTCCTGCTCACTCCATCTCTCCACCAGGATCTTGCTCGCTCTCTCTCAAACTCTACCTGCAGCTCCTTCAAGTCTTTGCTCAGGTCACCTGTCCAGGGATGTCTTCCTTCCAACACCTGCCCAATCTTAAACATCAACTTGAGTCTAAGCCTGGGCCTCCCAAGCTCTAGCTGACTTTCCCTATTTTGCTTACCACCATCTGATATGGCATATACTGTATTCATTGACTTACTGCCCACCTGCCTGCACCAGCAAGTTCCAGGAAGGCAGAGTTCTGATCCCTTCTGTGCACCTGCAGAATCCCTTGAGCCTAGAGCAGTGCTGAGCATATAGCAGGCCCTCAGAGACTATCTGTGATATGAGTGAACACTGCTGGCTAGAATAAAGGGGACAGTTGAGAATTTTCATTAAATCCATAAATGTTCAATTTGGTGGGGATTGTATTTCAGTTTTGCATTGTGCTAGCTTACTAAGAATTAGTCTCCTCAAACATCAGTTTCCTCATTTTAAAATGAAGGATAAAAAAAAAATAATAATGCCTTTATCTTAAAAGGCTGTTTAAAGAGTAAATGAGAAACTGTGCTTCGAATACTTCCTGACTCATATTTTATGTACTAAATAGCAATCTAGCATGAAGGAAAATTATTTACTGAATTACTCATATCCCTTACATTCTTACTGGATTATATAAGAACCAACTAAATCAAATATATTGTTGATAACACTTATTTTAAGTGGTGTACACATAGTTTCCCTTACTTACAGTCTATTATATTATTTTTCTGTACAGGAATTGGCCAGACAGACTGTAGGAAAATAGACTGCCTCTGTCTGCAAAGTTGAACACACACTACACAAGTATTCATGAGTATCTACTATGTGTCAGATGCTATCCTATGCCCCAGAGGCACAGTAGAAAGAAAGGCCAAGCTATTTCTCAATGGAGCTTTCTCCCAGAGGATAGAGGACTGGCAGGTGACCACACATGTAATTCCCATAAAGAGGGAATGTGAAGAGTCTCAGAAACACAGCCTGGTTCATGGTATGCGCTCCAAGCCACCATCTCTCTCTCGAGGCCAGCATCAATACCATGACCCAAAAGCACAAACTCCAGGAAAACCACTTGGACTTTGGCCATGAAGCACTCCTTATGCTCTAAGTACTCAAAACATGATCACCTCCGTGTCAGAGAAGCCTTCACGACACTCTTAGATGTCAGTGTTTTAAGGTGGGCTGTACTGGCTTTCACTGTTAGGTTGAAAAGATGGGGCGGGGCCTTCAAATATTAATATACGAGTGTGCTTGAAAAAGTTCATGGAACATAGATTTAAATTCTAAGTTTAGTCTGATGCCAAAACTGCATTTTCTAAGGAATTATCTTACGTACCCTTGTATATAATGCTACAGGAAAAAAAAAATCAGAAGTTGGCTGTATTAAAGCCAAAATGTAATCTGGTTGGTGAGTCATTTCCTTCCTTTCATTTCTTTGTACTTTCCAGTTTTTCTTTAATAAGCATAATATGATTTATATAAGCAGAAAACAAGCTATATCCTTTTTCCTTTTTTTTTTTAACTAAAATGTCCCTGTTTTTGAGCAAAAGGGAGGATATCCTCACACCAAAAGGAAATCAACTTCAAGAAGTTCTGGCCTGTTTCCTAGAGATTTAGCTCTGAGACATAATTTTCTTTCCTTCCTTCATTATCATAACAATACACATTCACTTGTGGAAAGTTAAGAAAAACAAGACAAGGAATAAAAACCTCATAATCCCACCATCCAATGAGAGTCACTGACCATATCATATTAAGTTCTTCATATTAAAAAAAAAAGTACTTCATATTTTTCTAAAAACATTAACACTAGGATCCCAGTTTTTCACTTGATGACCTACTGGGAATAGTTGTATAACAGTAGCATTTTACAAACAATCCTCTTCATAATGTCTTTTTCTAAATTTTCAAACCCATCAACTGTTACTATTAGCATTTCTCAAACTGAATCTTTGTCCAAATCCATGATCGCGTCCTTAAAATAAATTCCTTTAGTACATCCCCTAGCTTAAGAATGACATCTCTAGGGCTTTTAACATGTGTTCCACTCAGTTGCCTTTGTGAACTTGCACTCTCACCAGCAGTGTGGCGGCCCACACATCATGGACCTGCATTATTCCTAAGCTGCATGATGTGGTTTGATGGGTAAAAAGCTATCCCATGTTCCCATTTCTATTTTTTATGTGATTAAGGATTCATTTGTTTTAGTTTTTTTTGTTGTTCTTTTTCTTTTTATCAAACTGCTCTATTTTTTAAAACTATAATAAATTTGCTTTGTTATATGTTGCAAATATTTCCTGTATATTGTTTAATTTCTAATTTTCTCATTGGCAGTTTGGAGTGTATATATATATATTTTTTTATCATTCAAACTCAGATCTAATGATCCTTTCTGATTTCTGCCTTTGAAGTCGCTCTAACATCATAAAAAAATAATCCCTTAGGTTTCTTCTAGTACATTATTTCTTTTACATGAAGTAACTGACCTAGAGTTTATTTGAACTTCGGGCCTGACACAAACGCCTAAGCCCAGCCTGCCCGGAAGTAGGTGGCAGGTGGAGTCTGGCAGAGAAGAGCCCACCTTACCTGAGGGAACCTGTCACCTTACCTGGGCCAGCCAGCGCCTTACCTGGGCGTCATATTTCACTGCGGCTGAGAGCAAGGCAATGGCGTTCTCCTCGCAGATGCCTTGCTTGATAGTTTGCTGACAGAGCTTTTTCAAACGGTTTTCTCTATAGAATGTGGCCAAGTCCAGCAGTCCTGGGGGAAAGAGGAGGGGAACACTTCCGCACTCTGATGGGAACTCCTGCCAGCCACGGGGCCAGCAGGACCAGGACCCTGCTCATCTGAATGTCACCGGCAGGGGCTCTGTGCAGAAACGTGGCCTGACTCCCACTTGCCCCACGCACCTCTACCAAAGAGGAGGCCCAGACTGAGCAAACCCCATGACACAAACGATCTGCTCACCAGAACTAGGCAAAGCAAAAAAACCTTAATGATTCTTCATAAGAGGGCAGGGGTGGGGTACGCGGCTCTCACTGCCCCTCCCCCTGCACTCCACGCCCCGCCAACCTGCAGCATCCCTGGTCATCTCACTGACACACAAGCACACATACACGCGCACACTCAGCTTTCCTCAAAAGACCCAGAAAACCTGATCTGCACCCTTTGGAAAACCAAAAGACCACCAGGAAAACCTGACCCTCACCTGCATGTGGCTCCCATTACCCCTAGCCCTTTTCTTGGCTCCTCTCTATGGCAATCGTCCCAGAGAACTGGCATTCTTCCTTTCCTTACCTCCCATTCTGACCTCAGGTCTTTGCAGTCTCATTCCCACCATTCCTGGAAACCCCAGCTGTGATTGCTGGCAATGGCTTCCACACCAACTGTTCTCCACCCACAGAGATCTCTCCCCTGCAACACTGTGTTGGTCAGTGTGCAGATCCCTAGTCTGAGCAAAGGCAGGGCTGGGCAGGAACGAGTTGTGAAGCTGCAAGCTGGAGGCCTAGGGGGCTGTTGTAGGCTAGCACAGAACCCTAAGGAATGGCGCCACAACTCTAAATCCTGGCCCAAACCCAAACCTGGTCTTTCAGTTCCTAATGAAGATACATTTTTCCAAGTAGGAGGATCAAACATATTTTATCCCAAGTTTGTTAGTTTGGCACATAACTTCTGTACTTTTTAGGGCATTTAGACCTTTCTTGGGATCCTTGCAAATGCTGATGGTACATCCATAAAACACTATCACTGAGATGTATGACAAGCAGCTTGAACTCCCTGGACTCGTCAAGGCCAAGAGCAAATCCCAAGGCCAGTGTGCTGGCTCAGTTGGCTAATCCTCCCCCTTTCAAGTGCCAGTATACCAGTCCATGTTTTGGCTGCTCCACCTCCCATCCAGCTCCCTGTTTATGGCTCAAAGCCTTGGGACCCTGCACCCACATGGGAGACCAGGAAGAAACTCTTGGCTCCTGATTTCGGATCTGCTAAGCTACTGCCATTGCAGCCATTTGGGGAGTGAACCAGTGGATAAAAGATATTCTGTCTTTTCTCTCCACAAATCTGCCTTTCCAGTAAAAATACATAAATCTTAAAAGAATAAAAATGAGTAAAAAAGCCTGTTGCTCCCTATCTTCCTCATCCTGGTGATGGTACTTCCATTAACCTGGCTGCCCAGGCCAAATCTCTTGCTTGGTCATCTCCCTGTCCTCTTATCCCATATATCAACAAACCCCATCAGCCGCATCTTTCAAATACATCCAGCATTTGTTCTGTCTTCAATGTCTCGTCTGCTACCTCACCCTAACCCGGGGAACCACTAAGCTCACACCTGAATACCAGCTATCGGACTTTTACAACAGATCACATCACCCCTCTGGCAGAAGCTGCTGGTTGCACCCTTAACCCCAACACACACACACACACACACACACTTAATATCATTTTCATCCTAAACCAAAGAATTTCTAGCTGTTCCATGGCTAAATGGAAATGCCTACTTTCCCAGCATCCTTTGCACCTGAGTATGGCCTTGATTAACTCTGGCCCATGATTTGAAAGCAGTGGAACTCCAGGGTCCCTTCCCCTGGAAGCACTGCAATCTGCCCACTGCCCTCAGTATCTGTGCCTTCCTCTAGGTGCCTCCTGCAGTACCCCATGGCGGCAGATGGTTTGATAGTTCACCTGGCTCTTATTTTGTCTGTCTAGTCCACCCAACCTCTGTAAAAAGTCCTAAAAAGGGAAATGAGTGAGTTCGATATAGAACCTAAGAACTTTCTCTCACAGCACCTTTCTATTTGGGTGTTGGAGAGATGTTACACACGCTTTGCTGCTGCCTTGGGGCAGTCTTGGTCATTACCTACGGCTTCCTCCGGGGAAAGGCTGATGCTGTCTGTGTACAGATACTCCAGGAAGGCTCTGAAGACGGGATATGAAAATTCGCTCATCTCTATGATGTCATCCTCACAGTCTTCCAATGAGGAACGAAAATGCTCACACCTGAAGGAAGCAAGGAGGGTCAGGTGCTGGCTTGGGGCATAGTCACACCTCACCTTGGCTCCTAACAAGGCTGCACACCCACTGCTGCTGCAGGTGCACAGGTGGCTGGCTGCCTCCTGGGCCATGCAAGTGGAAACAGTGCTGGGCACCCCAGTCTCTTTTCTACATCACACTCTTTGATCAGCGCTGATACAAATTGGATGGGTTTATTTTCTGTAAGTCTGAGTAATTGTGTTGCTTCATCCCATTACGGGTTGAATTGGGGGCCCTAAAAATTCCCAAGCCAAAATCATAATCACAAGGCTTCAGAATGTGGCTTCGTTTGGAGACAGCATCTCTACAAAGGGAGCAGAGTTACACTGAGTTCTCTAGGTGGTGTTCACTGACCTCAATTTACAATAAAAGGAAAGTCAGACACAGGCTTGTACACAGCTAACATGCCATGCAGACATGCAGTTTATTGCCACAAACCAGGGAATGCCACAGACCGAGGGAGGCCCTAGAGACGAGGGCCGAGGCAAACAATGAATGCTCCCTCCCAGCCCGCCAATGAAATCTGTCCTGCCAACTCCCTGACCCCGGACTTGTGCTTCTACCACTGTGGGTGAACACCCTCTGTTGTGTAAGTCACCAGCTTCTAGCCCTAGGATACAGCAAACTCATTTGCTTCTGTCTTCCTTTATGAAGATCTATGGGCAAGAGTGAGAATGAATGGATTTGCACAGCCTGACCTTGCTGAACAGGAACATGAGACCATGAGAGGAAGTTTGCCGTTCACTGAAGCAGGAATTAAGTGTCTGAACTGCAGAGTAGCCACAGTTTGGCTCCCCACTCATGCAGAAATCTAAACCACAAAGTCTTAAATGAATGATGCTAACAGGGAGGGAACTTAATCCGATTATGGTGTCTGCAGGTGGGGCCTTCAGGTGGTGATTGAGTTGGATTAGGCCACTAGGGTGGAGCCCCCGGGTCAAGTTCAGACCACAAGCCTGTTTTGCCTGGCCAAGTGGTCCTTCCCTGCATGTGTCCCACCATCTATCACTTTCAACTGATTTCAAACTGATGGGGCCGCTGGATCTAGGACCATGAATCTCCAAAACCATGAGCAGAAATAAGCCTTCTTCACCCCATGGTGGCATCTCCAGGTATTTTAGCTGTAGGAATGAGCATCTGACTAATTCAACTTGTTATCCAACAATATATAGCATTTCCAAATCACTAGACTATGAGAAAGGAGTCAGGCATGGCTAAATGCATACCATATCATTCTGTTCCTATAAACTCCTACAAAATGCTAGCTAATCTATAGTGACAGGGAAGATCAGCGGGCGCCGGGAGGCCTGTGGCCTAATGAGGGAAACGTTCTACATCTTGGTGGGTGGAGTTTTCACAGGCGTGTGCATGCAACAGATTTCACCAAACACATCTGGGATGGATGGACTTCATTGCTCATAAACTAAACATTGACAAATTTGATTCCTATAATCTTGGTGTTAACTTTACCCTGGACCTTTGTCAATCTGGAAAAGCCTGATCTTGACTTTTAAAGGCATCTAACTGTTCAGTGTCCCACAGCCGACTAGGGGCAGTGATTGTCCTGGGCTAAACTCCCACAGTCTGCCTTAGCAGGAAGTTGGAGCTGCAAGTTCCCAAGTAGGCAAGATCATGTGTATCCAAGTCCCCAGAACTGTGTGAAAAGCACAGGGCCCAGCCAGTGAGTGCCAGCTGGCTGCTCTTTCTGGTATCTCAGTGGGCATGATACGGTAGGCAGAGTGGGTGAGGGATGAGAAGCTAAGGACGGCCAGCCAAAGCATGTGTATGGCGTAAGTCCCAACACCTTCTGTGCCGACTCCACATAGTAAAAGGTAGGCAGCCCACCCCTCATGCCACTAAGCCTCACTGTCCATCACATGCCACATACCATGACACTCCCCTGGAGACCAGCACATGCATTACAGCCCCACCACAAGGCTGCCTCCTCTGAGCACTCAACCAGGCCCTGCCCCAGCACTACCCCAGCCATGTAAACAGGATGACCCCAGCTCAGGTGGCAGGGCAATTCTCATCTCTAAGTGGGCACAATCCCTTTGCCTTTCCATGAACCCCGCTTTCCTACTTGCCTTCATCAAAGTCTCCCAGTTGCACTCTCAAACTCCAGAAGACAAGAATCTGGGCTAAGAGCAGCTGAGGGCTCTGCACCCAGCCAAGACTCCTAATCCAACCAACATAATTTGGGGGTCTTGTCCCCCAAGAGAACCTCCTTCAAGCACTCTAAGGAATGTGACAGGAGGAACGATTGCCCAAACCACATGCCTAGCTCCTGTGGCACACCTGCATGCTTGGTTGCTTCACATGCTATGTCTTCACCCAGGCCGCACTATGTGCCATACATTCTTTTCTGATTACTGAAGCACCCCATATTACTCCTCAGACACTTAGAATACAGTGTTTGAATGCGGCGGGTCGGCACTGTGGTGTAGCACATAAAGCTGCAGCTTGTGACGGCAGCATCCCACACAGGCACTGGATCAAGTCATGGCCACTCTACTTCCCCTCCCTACTAACGTGCCTGGGAAAGCAGCAGAAGATGACCCAAGTGCCTGGCCCCCTGCACCTACATGATAGACTGGGAAAAAGCTCCTGGCTCCTGGCTCCTGGCTTCAGCCTGGGCTTAGTCCTAGTTGTTGTGAATATTTGGGAAATGAGAAAGTAGATGTAAGATTCTTTCTCTCTCTGTTTCCCTATGCCCCACCCCCATTAACTCTGCCTTTCGAACAAATAAATCTTTTTTTTTTAATGTTGAATGAATAGGTTGCTCTCAATTCTGAAAATAAATGAGTCCTTACCTAATTTTGAGAAGGACTCTATGTGCATAAATGTACTTTCCATCAACCAGAAACTTGAGGTCTGCGGTGTCCGGGTTGTCAAATTCCCTCTTCAGCGACTCAGCCACAGTGAGGTGGTCATCAGGTTCTAAGAGGATGACATAAATGCTCCTGGAGTTACAGACATGATGGCAACACAGGTCGGGCAGAGTGCTGGTTTGTGGATGCCCACAAAGATGCCAGTCCCCCAAAACAACTGACCAGCTGAGCAATGCCCTTTTCCTCGAAATAAGGATTTGCAACTCTGTAACTTCAGAACCTCACCCTCACCTGCTTATAAATCCAGCAAAACAACAGCAGGGTGGGCATCTGGTGCAGGGGTGAAGACATCCCTGGGGAAGCCCTTATGTCACTATCAGGTGCCTGGGTTCGAGTCTCAGCTCCTTTTCCCATTCAGCTTTTCTGCTAAGGCACACCCTGGAAGGCAGCAGGAGACGCTCACGCACTTGAGTCCCTGTCATCCTTTGAGATACATGACTGGAGATCCAGGTTTCTGGCTTTGCAAGCAGTAAATTGCAAATTCTGTTCCCTACCTCACTCTGCCTTTCAAACAAAATAAAACATTTTAATTCCTTTAAGTCCCAAGCCATCTCACTCATTTTGGATGGACTTTTGCAATGTCTGAGTAAACATCGTAGCTAAAAATAAAGGATATGAATAACCAGGGAAATGAAAAAGCAGTCAAGTAAATTCAATTTTCATTTAGCCAAGCTGCTGTTTCCTGTTACATTTAAGAAAGTTACACAATTGCTTCTTTTTCCCAGGAGCCCATTCGAAGGAAACAGAGTTTAAGGCCCTGTCCTCACTAAGCCCTTCCCACCAAAGAACGAACGTCCACTCTCCTCCAGGTCCAGGACCTCGGACCACGCCCCCAACACACAGTGACAGCTCACCCACGGAGAGCAGGCGCCAGGAGACGGCGGGCGTGGCGAAGCAGGCGAAGACGTCGTCGGTGCAGGAGAAGTGGGTGAGGTGAGGCAGGATCACCGACTGGCCCCGGCACTGGCCCCACATGTACACGTGCCCGCCCTGGGTCTTGGCGGCGGACGTGTGCGCAGAGTGGCAGGCTGCGATCTCAATGATCCTGGATTGATAAGCAAAAACCATATGACACTAAACAGAGGAACGACTTGACTGCTCCATTCCCAGTGTTTCACTGATGTGGGGGCTTCATCAACTTAACTTACAGAAAGCCGTGGGCCTGAGAAGAGGGGAAAACAAACAGAACAAAACCCAACAGAACAAAGACGCACAGCTTCATCTTCTGAAGGCCTGGGCACCAAACAGTAACTTTCATTTAAACCTCATGTCAAGGACTCTTGTCATTCATAGGATTCTGTCTGCTTCCACTCTGAGCCAGCAGGCCTAGGGAAAATTTGAGGGGATGCCAAACAGTTCATGGAAACATAGATGTCAAACATAAGTTTATTCTCAAAAGAACTTTGAAAGTCATGGACAGGGTTCTCACAGTAGGCAGTTTCCATGATTGTTTTTGAAGAATCCTGGTCATGCGGTGTCTCACTTTGAAATTGCAGTGCAATCCAAGAGAGCAGATGAAGAGAGAGGGAGAAGGAAATATTTACCTTTTTCTTGAGATATTATTGACTTACTGAAGAAGACAATAAAGATTTAGGCTAGCCTGACCCAGGGTGAGGACAGAAATGCCGAATCAGCATGACGCTGTTTTCCTGGTGCAGCTGTGCAGGCTCCACACAGCACATCCAGGGATCCCCCGCCACGGGGGGATACACCTGAGGCCCAGAGCAGTAGTTTTTCTGGGATCAGCCTACAACAGGCCCCAGCACAAAGTTTACAATGGACAGAAAAGTGGTTGATGGAACACCTCCTAACTGGGAAACAATGTGTTGTTGACTCTGAATTAAGGGGTTTTCTTTCACAAGCCACCACACAGAAGAGGACAGGAAATCATTGGTTTTACCCTAGGTAAAGTCACTTTCATAAACCGGCCTCTTTTAAAGGGCCTGTTCGGGAAGCTGGATTGTTATCTTTCTAACTATGATTTCTCAGAAACTCATATAAACAGCTGTTTCAGTTTGCACACTTGAAATTTAGCATGAAGGACTCAATTTTTTTAGCCTGCTCTCTTGGAGCCCCATGCAGAAGCTTTGTCTAAAATTGCTCCTCCTGGGGCAGTCATTTGGGTGCAGTGGGTTAATGATGCATTGGGGCATTCACATCCCATCTCAGAAAGCCTGAGTTCAAGTCCTCCTCCCCTGCTTCCCGTACAGCTTCCTACTGTACATCCTGACAGGAAACGGGAGACGGCTCTAGTCCTGGGCCCTTGCCACCCACATGAGAGATCTGGCTGCTGGCTTCCGCCCTAGCTATTACAGCCATCCGGAGAGTGAACCCATGGATGGAAGATGACTTTCTTCTGTTTCTCTGTTTTTCCTCCTTCTCTGTCTTTGTTGTTCTGCCTTTCAAATAAATAAAAATCAGGGACCGTTGTCCTGGAGTAGAGGGATAAGTCATTGTCTGTGAGTCACTGTTTTGAGTCGCAGCTGCTCCACTTTTGTCCAGCTCCCTTACTAATACATCCAGGAAAGCAGTGGAGGACAGCTCTAGTTCCTGGGCTCCTGTACCCTCTGCTTGGATTGCCAGGTTCCCGGCTTTAGCCTGGCCCAGCCCTGGTCATTCTGGCTATTTGGATATCTGGGGAGTGAACCAGCAAAGGAAAGATATCTCTCCTTCCCCCGCCCCGACACATACACACACACTCCCTCTTTCACTCTATAACTCTACCTTTCAAATAAACAAAACATAAGCTTAAAAAAAAAACCAAATAGCAACCACCTATTATTTTTAATTCAACACTATGGCTACTTAGCATTTGAAATAGCATCTCTTTTCTAGAAAAAGCATTTTTTCCCCCCTAACAATCAGTGCAGATCAGAAGATGGTCCCTGCAGGATTCCTTTCCTGACATTTGCACGCTTGGGTCAGTCACCGGCTTCAGCCAGTGTTGATTGGGCCAGTGGGGACACCGTGGCTATGGTCTGTCTTCCCAGTATGTGGACTCTTTACTGCACATGAAGAAAGCGGGAGAAAGAAGAGGCTCCCTTCTTTAAGGAGAATGACATCCACTGCAACCTTCCCCAAGAATTTTGCTGTCAAGCTCCCTAGGCAGCCCTGACTGGGAAGCCTGCTACACTGTACCTCAGGTGGGGCCAAGAGGTGGCAGGGCGTGGCTCTCTGCTCCCAGCAGTTAGAGAGGCCAGGTTATGTAATTCTTTGCAATCAGTGTTATCACCCATGTTGTGGTCACTCTTCATGGGGGGGAAATCACTACCTGCTCTTAATACCAAGGTTTGGTGCCACACTAGTGGCATGATCCCCAATAACTGCAAGGCTTGTTGGCTGTGAAGAACTAGAAGTGAAAAAAGCGAAGAGTGAGAAAAGAATGAAGGATGGAGAACAACATAGGGGACAAAAGGTCATTTGGGAGGCAGAAGACTAACGGGAAACAAGTAGCATAAATCTAAGATGCAGAGCAGGGACTCTGGTCTTGGCTGTACAAGTCACAGTGCTTGCCATCAACCTCAAGATGCCAGAGATGACTCGCCAGCTCCAGGCTCGGCCAGCGCTGTGCTCACTGCTTTCCTGCTGCTTTGAGAACAAACCCAAGAGCTGGCCGGTCGGATGCCATAAGATGACAACTTTGCAAAGACTGGGAATGCGGGAGTTAAAGGGAAGACCAGCATTTGACTTATAAAAATTGTTTTAAGGTAAACGCAGGTGCTGACAAATATTAGGATGACTCATCACGAAAATCTGGGAATGATGTTTTACAGATTTCCCTGGGGTTGTTGATTGGGCCAAGAATTCAATGCAGGCACATTTTTGTTTGTTCCACAGCTGTGAACAGACAACCAGGAACTGAAGTTTCACCCCGCTCCAGAAGTGATTCTGCTTCTCATTAGTCAAGCTTTCCCAAAAGTGTTAGTGGGAGGGTTCTCATGAGGGAAGTCATTTGGTATCCTGGAAGGAAAAGTGGAGAACCGCACAGCGATTACACTCCCCCACAATAATCCAGTGACACGGGCCTGACTAGAACAAGGCAAACTCAGAAAGTGGGGTCAGGAATTCCCACCTAAAACATTCATTCATGCTCTTGCCAGCCAAAACAAGGTGGATGTGGACTACAGCAAGTTCACAGGGCCAAGCCACCTCCACTTTGCTTCCCACTGTAGTTCCAACAGATTGTAGTTTACCAAGGAAAGCAATAGCTGCCTCCTCAGGCTCAGCTCAAGCAACCTGACACATCACCGCCAGTCCTTTGTCGCTTCCTCTTCCAGCTCCAGGGCCCATGATCTGCTGGGTACTGGACTCTGGGGAGGTCAGTGCTGGTCAAGGCTGGCAGAGCCTGCCAGTCAGGGACAGCTGAGTTTCTTTCTCTGACAAAGGCAGGAGCACCAAAATAAAATCTGAGCACCACACAAAGGCACGCTGGCTTTCTGGGATCTCTAACACTTTGTCATTCAGCAGAAGCACTTAGTGCCCCACTGACAGCATTAGCTCACAGATGGCCTATTTCTGAAACCCTAACAAAGTCCTCTCACTTTCTCCAAAGCAGCAGGGATCTTTTACAAGATATGCTAATGGCATGGCCGCAGGCATCCCTCCCAGTTATCTCCCTTGCTCTCCAACTCTTAAGGGGCCCACGGCCTCATTCTAAGATTTTTGGCTAGGGCCCAGCGCTAGGGCTTAGCAAGTTCAGCTGTTGCCTGCAGCACCTACATCCTGCTCATCCTGTTAATATGCCTGGAAAAGCAGTGGAGGATGGCCCACAGTGGAGTGCCGTGGGTTCTGCACTCCAGTGGGAACCCTAGAAGAAGCTCCTGGAAACTGGCTTCTGCCTGGCCCAGCTCTGGCTGTTGTAGAGCTCTGGGGAGTGAACAAACAGATGGAAGATTTCTCTATCTGTCTGTATTGTTCCCTCTCTGAAACTTTGCCTTTTAAATAAATAAAACTTTAAAAAACAACAAAACTGCAGTTTTATTTAGCCCCGGGAAACATAAGTTAAAAACTAACAAAGGCCTCAAACTCAAATGAAAACTGCAGTTATTATTAACAAAAGACATTTCGGCTTTTCATTTTCACTGTTAAGTACTGCATAGAAAAATCCACCCCTGTCCTCCTCATGGGTGATCTGGATGGGGTTTGTGGCTCCTGGCTGCTACAGGCGTTTGGAAAAGCAGCCAGCAGATGGAAACGCTCTCTTTCTTTCTCTTTCACGTAAATAAATAAGTCTTAAAAAGAGAGAGAAGAAAAGATAATGTAATGTTTTTACTCCCACACCTCTGCACCAAGAACAAGAGAGGGGTAGGCATTGTGGCACAGCAAGTAAAGCTGCCACTTACAACACAGGAAAAAAACCCATATTTGAGTGCCAGTTGGAGTTTCAGCTGCTCTCTGCTAATGTGCCTGGGAAAGCGGCAGAGGAAGGCCCAAGTACTTGGGTCCCTGCACCTCGTGGGAAGGCCAGGATGTTGCTTCTGGCTTCTGCTAAGCTCAAATCCAGGCTGCTGCGGCCACCAGAGGATGGAAGATCTCTTTCTATCTCTCTCCCTGTGTCTCCTTCTATCTGATGTTCTTCCTTCTGAATAAATAAACAAATATATATATATTTAATGAGGGAAAAGGCAGACACTGGAGAATCTAAAGGCTTTCAAAAGTATTAGGATAATCCAGGAGCTATTTACACAACCCTGTAAATGGTACAGAAAATGAGGTTTATATTTCCTAATGGTTTGATTCTTTCTCACACTGACAGCCTAGGAGGATAAGTAATGAAATAACCCTATCCTTTCTTCAACAGGCAGATTTTGTAAGTAGCTGAGTGGCTTTTGTTTCACACTCCATTCCAAGTCCATTTCCCTAGGCCAGAGAGGACAAACATCAACAAAATCGACAGAAAGAAGGAAACAGCTAATTTTCCAGAGAGAATAGAGTGGTAGTTTTCTAGAGATTTAGTCAATGTAGTTTGCAATTTGAAAGCTGACTTTCAAGAAGATGGTTAAAAAGTACTCAAATGCTAACAATAAAGTCCCCAAGAGTCACTGCTGAGTACCTCCTATTTGGTCACTATCGGCCACTGGCTGAGTTAGAAACTGCACACCTTACCTGTCCTTTTCTACAACCACAGGAGTAGGGTAGGACTGGTTACTTTTATTGCCGGTGCCTAATTGGCCATAAGAATTGGCGCCCCAAGCATACACTTGGCCTTCATCTGTTAATACTAACGTGTGTGCATAGCCACAGGCAACCTAGAAAGAGGGGGGAAAAAAGTCACTCAGGCGTGGAAATAGAAGGAACTATTTTGCTGTTAGGTTAGACAGGCAGGGAATCAAAACTGAAAGAAGCTGCCTGCCTGCAGTGGCAAACGTGAAGTGAACCCAAGTCCCCAAGTGTGGTCAGAACTAAGCTGCAATGAGGCAGAGCCCTTCAGCTTGCTCAACCCCAGTGCGGGCAGCTGACATTCAGCAACTGCGTGCTCTCAGAGGGGAGGAGCTGATACAATAACCAGACGCCTCTGATTTTTAGCAATTCTTTTTCTTTATAACAGAAGGTGTTCAATGTGAAAAATATAGAGATGTAAGGATATGAAAGCTAAGGGTTGGTTTTGTCCTATTTATATGTAGACATTCATATGCATGAATAGCTTTTTAAAAATAACTATATTGTAAATTAGTTCTGTATCATGTTTCTTTTTATTTAACATCCTATACAGTATTTTCCCATATGAATAAAAATTCTTTGTAAATATTGTATCCATCATCTACACTTGGCATAATTTAATCATTAACACTATATGCTCAGTACATGACACATTTTCTTATTAAAGTTATCCATTTTTATGGGTTTTTTTTGCTATATTGTCTTAATTCTGTAAAATACTCTGGTTCTATGTCAAAACTTGTGATGATTTTTAAGGCTCTTGATGATACACACTGCCAAAGGTTCCTCAGAAAAAAAGCTGTAACAATTCACATCCCAAAAGCTGGGTGTTGGAGCTTTTGGAAACAGACACAACTGAATCCAGGCAAAAACTGCTTTAACCTCAACTTTCACAGAGACAATCATCCAAGCAGCACATCACTCTCCTAAGACAACTGTGTCTCTGATTCACATCTGAGTCCCTGCTGCTCTCCACACACAGGGACCAACAGGGGACATACCCGCTGCACTCGAATGCCTTGCAGAGCGGCTACTCTGCAGGGGGTGGGCTGGTTGCCACCACTGCCAAGTCCAAGCTGCCCGTTTCCATTGTAGCCCCAGACATAGACCTGAGAGAAAAGGAGAAACTCAGTGTACCTGAAAGCCAGCCAGCCAGCAAGGTCCTCACCATAAGAAGCATGCCACAACCCACATGACACTTCTGTGACCTGAATGTCAGTCCCCAGAACCTCACGTGTTAGAATCTTAAAGTCAAATGTTCGTGGTGTTTGCAGGTGGGGGTTAGGGGAGGTAACTGGGTCAGCCTGTTTTCAGAACCTAATGGATCACGGGGTTACTGAGAAGTTGTAACAGTGAGCTCTCCTTGAAACACCTGCTCTGTGTCACCATTACCTGGGGATTCTGCAGAGTCCCCACTGAAAAGAAGGCCTCTCCACATGGACCTCAGTCTTTCTCCCCCCAAGATCCATGCACTGAATAAACCTGTACTCCCTATGAACTACCCAGGCTGTGGGATTCTGAGGTCTAAGACAGACACTAGAATAGCACACAGCACTGCAGAACACTCTATGACAGAATTACATTCCTACCTCCCCGGTGTCCACGACTGCCATGGAGCACATCTGCCCACATGCTATGTTCACGACGACTTTGTTCTGTAGGCAACCAGTGACTCTTCGAGGGATGGGCTGATTGGCTGTTGGGCCAGATCCCACCTGCCCAGAGTTATTATAGCCCCAGGCAAATACCTATCGGCAAGAGATCAAGGAATGACAGGTGTTAATTGACCAAGTGTCTCACTGGGACACTGCCCACACTTAACGCACTTCATCTCCCCTCCCAAGGTGCTCCATAGACCTCACAGCACAGGCGGAAACACTGGGAAAAAAATTCCTTCTCATGTGTGTTATAAAATGAGGTTACTGGTTGTTATCTACACTACAATAATTAACACATATCTACACACTTACAAAAATACGTACTTTGCATCAGCCATATTTTCCACCATTTGTGGATATTTTACTTTATTTTAAAATAGCTCCATTATAATAATACAGAAAGAATGGCGTGGCATTTAGCTACTCAAGTTATAGAAGTGCTTAGTACATACAGGGAAAGATCTCAAATGCGCCAACAGCATGACTATGAATTGCTACCAAGAATAGGATTGAATTTGAAGATGGTGGTTAATTTAAGCAGGCGATCATATTTCCAGGCTGGTTATGGTGGTCACTACAACTTTATGGAAATCAATTCCATGAGCTTTCTGCTGACTGTTCTCACCTCTCCATCAGATGTCAGCACCAAGGAATGGTACGACCCACAGGCAACTTCAATGACTTGCTTGTTTGACAGATTAGTGGAGATTTGACAGGGCACTAAACCATGATTAGTTGTGCCATTGCCCAGCTGGCTGTAAGCATTGTGACCCCAGGTAAAGACTTCTCCTTCTGGAAATAAAAAGAAAGTTAATTTGCTTTCAACACATACTTTATTTATGAAAATACACACTGCCTAACTTCCACACACTGAACATTCCTTTTAAAAAAAAAGTCCTCATTTTAAAAAAGATAATCAGCTTCCCTATTCTAGCAAATTACTTCAGTAAAAGAACCTATTTAGGAAATAGGAACTACATTCTATCTCAAAGCAACAAAGTGAAATTTAAACTCATGCAATTATGATAGCCATAAGAGATTTTTTTGTTTGATTTTTAATAAAGAGCAGAGAAAAAGCCTCTAAGATTAACAGTAAAATGGGTCCAATGCAATGGCTCAGTTGGCTAATTCTCCCCCTTGCAAATGCTGAGATCTCATAGGGGCATCAGTTCGTGTCCTGGCTGCTCTACTTTCCATCCAGCTCCCTACCTGTGGCCTGGGAAAGCAGTAGGGGACAGCCCAAAGCCTTGAGATCTTGCACCCACGTGGGAGACCTGGAAGAGGCTCCTTGCTACTGACTTCAGATCTGCTCAGCTCTGGCTGTTGGGGCCACATGGTGGGTGAATAAGCAGATAAAATATCTTTCTCTTTGTCTCTCCTTCTCTCTACAAATCTGCCTTCCCAATAAAAATAAGTAATTTTTTAAAAAAGTAAAACCCTGAGGTTGAAAGTCAAAAGACTGAAGGCCACTTATCTCCTTTAGACCTTAATTATCGGGGGTCCTCCCATCCCGCGGAAGAAATCACCGGACACTTGAGAGAGTCTCCAAGGCGCTTTATTCCGATCTTCCGTTGTGACCGTTATGACCATTGTGACCGCTATCACCGTTATGACCGTTACGCTCCAGCCCCTCCCCCGCCAAGCCCCCCGCTTATCTGTCAAACTTGACCAATCAACTTAAAGATAACCAAGGCACACCAATCAGGGCAAAGGGCCAATCACAGGGCAGGAAATGGTTAGTGCCCCCAACACTTAATTTCACTATCTATAAAATTATAGCTTAGTTAATATTTAAACATTTATTTACTTGAAAGTCAGAGTTCCATAGAGAAGGAGGCTAGATGAGAAGTGGAGTAGCAAGACACAACCCGTGTCCATATGGCATGTACCTGCCAGTTTTACTGTCAGAACACCAACTCCACTTTGTTAATTTTTAAAACTATGATAATGAATATTTAATACGCATATAACAGAAAATTTCCTAAAATACATGAAATAGATGGACAATTTCAGAAATAAAATCTAGCATGGTTATTCCTTAAAAGCCCCTCATATATGTATCTTAGCATAAAAGGATTCAGTTTCTCCTTTTTAAAACCTGAAAAAGAATCAACCAGTGTCCACTCATTTCATCTGTATTTTCAACCAGATTGTCTCTTCACACTAAATTCTGAATCATTTCTTCTGATCCATCTTCTAGTTTATTCTCTTTTACTGCAGCCACGTTGCTATAGAACCTATTTACTGAATTTTCATTTCTGAATTACATTATTCATTTGACTCTTTTTCAAATCTCTATGGTGTATATAGGTTCCTCAAGCTTTTTTTTTTTTTTTCAAATAATAAATACATCTGTGTTTTAATGGGTTTCTGGCCATTGTCATATCTGATGCGTAGTTGTCCGTCCTTGCTGCCTGTCATTTCTGCTGGTTCTTACCTTTAGGAGGTTGGGACTAAGTTTCTGCACTAGGCCCAGCAGACAAAACCAGGAAGCAAGCACTTGGACTAAAGCTCCATGTCACCAAAAAGAAACTAAGCTGTTTATCTAACCTCCTGAGAAATCAGGAGAGAGATTAGTCAAGTCCTGAACAGGCCTCTTTTGGTGTCATGATAATGCTGTTCTCTGTGTCAACAAGGGAGAGAACCATGACACAGTCCTAAGCATTTGTTCTTCCTTTCTTTCTATACCCCTTCTTGATTTCTAAAACTGACCTCCTCTGCTAAGCTCATCAGAACACTCAATTTCATGAACTTTTAATTCATTTATTTTGGCTTATGGAAAGAAGTGCTGCCCAATTCTAGAGTCACAAATAAATGCCAATTAAGATCTATGAGCTAACATGGCTTTGTATTCTGACACATCCCTGGTGCCTATTTCTTCCTATACCCAGTTATCGTTGACTGCTGATCACTTACTACCATGGGCAAGCTTCATGTGTTGACCCCTGCAGGTCTAAGATGACGGATCTCCTCTGGAAGGGCGTTCACTCCTGTGTGTCCTAGGGCGCCTCTGTCCTGCACCTCTAATAAACTCAGATCTTTTGGAAGGTCCATCTGATATAAATTAAATTATACATTCTCGGTTGTAAACTCTCAGGGAGGTTTATTCTTTTTTTTTTTTTTCTTTTCTTTCTCTCACTGCTTTGCTCAAAACAAGGACTTCTGTGTTTAGCAGCCTTGGAAGTGGTCAGGCCTTTCCCTGACAGCCTTGCATTCACAGTCCCACCCCGAGGGGGAAGGCCTTCTACCAGACCCCTGGCAGGTTGGACTACCTGGACTTCTGGCCCCATGATCTCCTGGGTCTCCATGCCACAGCTCCGATGCAGGGACTACGTAGACTCCTTAAGGGCAATACCTTCTTTAAGGTCCCCTCTCACCTCTGGGGTGACATCTTCTCTTAACAGTTGGTCTGATTAAAAACTATCAGTATTTAGACACCTGTATAAAAATTTTTCAGCAATCTTTTAGCTAAAATGTTAATTGTTTTCAGCAAAGAGGTAGTCTAAATCATCTAACTTTGTTATTACTGGAAACCAGAGCTTATTTTTTAAATGTAGAATGAATATGTTGAGTATTTGCATAATTTATTTTGAATTGAAAGAACACTAATAAGATGAATGTTAAATTTTAGGACACTGCTCAAGAGGCATATTTTATTATGTTATTGGTCTGGATTAGTGGGAAAAGCATGAGGGTGTTTAGTGGCTCCCAGTCTTATTTCTCAACAAATAAAGCATTGGTTGAATTCTTGTTTGTTTCCCCAGGTTACCTGTGGTGGCAAGGACAACATGTGGGCCACTCCCGTAGCTGAAGCAGGCTATCTTTTTGCCACTTAGAGTATCCAGTCTCCGAGGTTCAATCGTGCTCTGGACATCGCCTAAGCCCAAACAGCCACTGCTGTTTGTGCCAAGCACGAAGATCTGAGAGAAAAACCAGAGTCAGCTGAGCCAGTTCTACTGGTGGGAAGCCTAGAAATTACACTCAGGGGGAGGGGGAAGGGGAGGGCTCAGCTTCGTGACAAGAAATCCAAATCGACTTGTCATGCTTTTTTTCTTTTCCTCTTTTATCTGTTAGTTTCCCCCTAAGATCTTCAATTTGGCCAACCCATGACTCAAAAACACATGGGCGTGGCTGGATGTTTCTTGTCCTCCAAATTACCTCATCATTCACAGTGCTGTATAAGACTTCATTACCAGCATTGCCAAAGACACAAGCCTGCCGGATTAACTGCAGTTCTTCCTCAGAACAAAGGGAGAAGATTGGCCACTTGCCAACATCTAACATCTTCAGGGATGAGACAGTGGCCTGTACTGGCTGAAAAAGAAAATATGCATTGACTTGAAATACCACTAAAACCCCCCAAAAACCACAAACTATTTTCTCTGCCCCTCTCACATGTGTAGAGTGTGACAGCGCTGGTCTGAGGAGGAACAAGCCACATCTATCTTTGAGAAGCCTCTCACAGACTGCCTGTCCAAGGCCCCCCAGTCACCCCGGGATCTCTCTTTTGGCCCCACCTGCCAGAGGCCCAGCTGGGATCAGAACTTGCTATTCACACCACTGCACTGGGGAGAGCTCCATGTTCAGGGGGGACCTGCAATACCAGCTGTTTTACACGTATATGCGGAAGCCGGGGGGTCAGAAGAGTGAGGGTGGAGGCAGAATGAGGGGGGCTGCCACTGCATCTGCTGCCAGCAGCTTCCCCAGACAGTCCTCTAGGAGGGACAACAGGAGAACAAACCACTGAGCTCACAGCAGAAGACGACCTTTCTCGTGGGATTATAGTTGTCTCCAGGACCCCCTGCAGATACCAAAACCTAAGATGCTCATAATCTACACATGTTCTCTTAGGTACTTCAAGTCCTTTCCAGTTTAGTCAAAATACCTAACAATGTAAATGTTATGCAAATAGTTGTCATCCTCATTTTTAAGCCAATAATGACAAGAAAAAAGTCTGCATAGAGAGCCATCCTAGGTCTAACTATACAACACATGACCCAGATCCAAGGTGAATGTCACTCGGACCAGGGCTGCTGGGCGGGGACAGAGAAGGAGGGTTTGGACAGAGAAACGAAGGCCACAGTACAGGGTGCCTGCAGGTCACCTCACTGAAGCAGAGGTTGTCCTGCACACTGTGTAGCAAGTTCAAGTTTTGTTTTGAGTGACTTTCTGTATTTTTCTCTGAACTTAAAAAAAATGTATTTTATTTATTTGAATGGCAGAGTTACAAAGAGAAAGAGGGAAAGAAACATTGAGAAAGAGAGCTTCCATCCACTGGCTCATTCTCCAAATGGCTGCAACAGCCAGGGCTGAACCAGACCAGAGCCAGGAGTCAGGAGCTTCACACATGTCTCTCATACGACTTCTGGAACCCAAGCACTTGGGCCACCTTCTGCTGCTTTCCCACATGCCTTTGCAGGGAGCTGGATGAGGAGTGGAGCAGCCAGGATTTGAAGTGGCATCCATATGGGATGCCAGTGTTTCAGGTGGCAGCTTAACGTGCTACCCCCACAGCACTGCCCATCCCCTGCCCCTGCTCACCCAGAGTATTTTCAATCTGAGGTGAGTTGACAGAGAGGCTGATTGCGTAGCTTCATGGTTAGGTCTTCATCTTTTCTAAATAATGCTCATGAGACTGTGGAATGCTTTAGTAGCAAAGAATTCTGAAGATTATTTTGCAGATGAAAAACCAGGCCCAGACGGGGGCTGTTGTGGGCCAAATAGTGTCGCCTGAAATCCAAAATGTCACATGTCCTGGGAACCTCACCAAGTGTCCTTGTTTGGAAAGAGAATGCATGCAGACACAATGAAGCCGTGCTGGGTTAGAAGGGGCCTAATGTCCTGGGTGGAGGAGTGGGCACACAGAGATGTCCAGGCAAGAGGGCTGTTTCACCACACAGCAGAAACACATGGCCATGCCAGGGAGCACGGAGAAGGGCCCAGCAGGAGCGGGAGGATTCCTCCCTGACCCTAAGCATGTGTGGCCTGCAGACTTCTGACCCCCAGACCTGAAGGGGACACATTCCGGCTCTAAGTCTCCTGTTTGCAGGCAGTCCTGCTAAGTCCTGCGAGCTAGCAACAGAGTCTGCACCAGAGCCAAGCTTCTCCACCCCCGCACCCAGCCACATTCCTTCACTGTGCCGCTAGAGTCACCTGATCCTGCGCAGAGAAAGGCGCCTTCTATTATTATCCTTTGGGCAGTACCAACAGGAGGCTGTCATCTCCAGTTCTGAAAAAATGCTGATTGTGTCTGCAGTCACCTTCACTAGGAGAGCATTTTACTGAAATCAGTAGCGGGGGAGGACAATTTACAGATATTCCCGATCTTTAATATGTAAATTCTCTTCAAATCTCATCTCTCTAGAAAACCATGATTTATATGCAAGTGTAATAAGGCTGTATCTCCAGGACATTATTTGATTCAGCAACTGAGGTACCTAAGTGCCACATCACAGTACCTGGGTTTGAGTCCCAGCTGTGGCTCTGGTCTCCAGCAATCATGGCCCAAATAGGTAAGTCCTTGCCACCAAGGTGGGAAACCTGGACTGGTTCCCCACTTCTGGATTTCAGTCTGGCCTGTGGCTACTGTGGAAATCTCCAGACTGAACCAACAAATGGAACTCTCTCTCTGCCTAAATACATAATAAAATAATGTCCTCATTGATGTGTGTATGTTTTCAGAAAACAAAAACTACATGGTGACATTAATCCAGAAATCCTAGAATCTTTCCAAACAAATTTTTTTTTCTCTGTGAGATTTTTCATTTACTGGAAGAAGAGCAATTTTTCCAGGGCTACTGCAGAGTTAAACACAGAATCTCATTATGTTAGTTTTTAGTCCACACTTCTACCCTGAATCACTTTTTTCCTTATGTCACAACAGGATCCTACTTTCTTTGATGTATCTTTTTTTCAGAGTAAGTAACTTTTAAGTAGAGAGAATAGATTAAAGGCCAGACTTTTTTCCACACATCAGCTAACATGTAACGCTACATTCATGATATTACAGTGTTGGCTTGCATCTGTAAGCAACTTCATAACAGGGCAATAACCCCTGCCTTGAGCTGTCTTCCAGGATCAGGCACGGTGGCAAGATGCAATCACTGATATGTCATTGTTTCTTTTCAATCAGACGTATGGATTTCATCTTACCCTGTGTCAAAGCAAGTGGTTTCTTAGATGCCCACAATCAGCCTGTAAATTCCATCTCACTCCTAAATGCCTGCCTACAAACCATGAGCTCTGAACTTGCCAGCCTACCTGCACAAAGCTCCATAGTAAGCAGTCCGAGACTCCACTGACTTCTGGGATTTCAGTGTGCTTTCAATGTAATATGCATTTTATTTTGTTTAAAGATGCTATTGGCCAAGGGAACTCCAGGTCTGACCATTTCATTGAATTAAAGATATAAAAATGAGACACAAGGTCACCATCATGGGAGGTTTTAACAGTAGGTTAAAGGACTGCCTGTGACGTCAGCATTCCTTCCAGCAGCAGTTCAATTCTTGGTTGCTCCACTTCCCATCTGGCTCCCTGCTAATGCTCCTGAGAAAGCTGTGGAAGATGGGCCAACTCCTTGAGCCTCTGCACTCATACGAGAGATCTGGATGAAGCTGCTTGCTCCTGGCTTTGGTTTAGACAACCCTGGTTATTGTACTCATTTGGGGAATAAACCAACAGATGGACAATCTTTCTTTTTTCTGTCTCTCTCTCTGTTATTCCCTTACTTCCTCCTTCCCTCTGTGTTTATGTGTGTTCCCCCGACTCATAACTCTGCCATTCAAACAGATAAAATAAAAATTTTAAAATAAAATAAAGACAAAACTGTTTCCTTAAAGGTCACAATCTAAAGGGAAATAAATTACAAGATAACCTCAGTACAGGAGTATGAATAGATCACTTTTGCATCCATCTGAGACTAGCATTAGGAGTGGATCGTCAAAGTCCATGGAGGAACTTTCACACAGGAACTCCAGACTTCATTGGAAAAAGACCTGTATTCACATTTTTTGGAGTAAGATGTTTAATATTAGTCTTCAGGAACACAGCATCTTCTTTCACATAAGACTAGAACCCCCTGCCTGACACAGTCATGAGACACTGGGTGAGGATTCACACCCAATGCCAGTGGGGGCTGCTGTCACACCGCAGCCATTCTGTAGGATGGCAGTCATCTCTGAAGACGGAATCCCCTCCTCCTCCCATCTCTGATGGAGGAATGTGTGTGGGGGAAAAATAGGCAACAAAGAGGAGAGCCTGGTAATGTGGATCACAGAGATTTTGTTCCCTAGAAGCTGCAGTCTTTTGGCCCAGGTATCCTCCTCTCTGCATGGGACAATCCTTAGTGGTACTGTCAGCCTTCCTTTACCGTGCTGCTCACCCCCAGTCTAGCTCCCCCACTTTTGCTGACATCTCCTTGGGGAGTCAAAGCAGTGAGACTTCACCCATTAGCACAGGAAAACATGATTCAGAAAATACAAAGGCCAGAAAATTAGAGACCCAAGCACATCTTATTCTCCCTATCTGTTCAGCTATGCTTCTCCTTCAACATAAAGAATCAAATGGACTACCATACTTAACTACTGATAATTGTCAAATTGTCATGATTCAATATAAAATAGAATCAAAACTACGTTAGGGTCGCCTCACAAAAAAAATACAGCGACACCTCACCCTTAAGAATTTTCCCAGCATTGTAACACTTTGTATGAGATTATTTTATTGCTGATTCTGTGAAATTTTTAGTTTATGAAAACTGTTTCTGGGAAAATGAAGAATTTCTCTGTCAACATTTTGCAAGATCCTCAGGTTCTGTATATTACTTTCATAGCCTATTTTGAGCTTTCCTGGGAGGGCTTACATAGGCTGTTACAAGTCAGCATATGGTACCAAGATGCTTTAGTGGTAGAAGTGCTACTTTGTGGCTGTATCTTATTCTGGCTTTGTGCAATTACGTGTATTTGTAAAATTGTACTTTGACCTTATCTTATTTCAAAAAGAGTAGAAAATGGGCAAAATTAATAGTGATGATTAACATTTAGCATATTATAGGGGTGAGCATTCTGTAAATAAACACATGTGGGCTGGAAGATGTGAGTTTGAGCTTCAGTGGCCACATCAGCTGGTTGACTGCAATGTTCAGAAATGAAAGAAAGCAAAGTGAAGCATGCCAATGATGAATTGAGACCCTATCTAAGTTTGGGATACTTTTTTTTTTTTTTAATCCTTGGGAACAGAGTAGCTGTAGTTCAACCCGGAGCCTTCTCAGTTTAGCGTCATCCATGACCGGAGACCCTCACTCCTTACCTAGCAAC